TAGCTGCCCCAGCCGTGCAAATTGCATTTTTCGTGATAGATTTGTCTTTTGCCGATCGAAACGTTATACTGAGAGCTTTGGCTATCGTAAATGATGTGAGTCCGGATGAAAATTCGATCGTCAACATCAGGTGAATTCAAATAACTAATTTTGAGGAGCAACGAGTTAATAAAATAATTTGCTACGGCAAATTTTCTCAAAAGTTCACAGAACTAGAAAAATATTTCTAACGTAAAATCCTGATTATGCAGGTTTTCATATGTTTATTATAAAAATTATGCAACGCGCCACGGAGAGCTCGGAAATATTTATCTTTTTCTACGTTAACGCTATGCTAACTTTATCCAAGAGACGCAACGAGTTTCGCGGAATGTTGGGTAACCCTTGACACGACTCAGAAATCCAGCAAGTTCCCGGGTCTTGACTATAATGCTCGGTGACCAGAAGTAATCTCATTAGCCGTGTCGCAAACTTATCTAGCAATTCGCAAAGAATGCTCGGCTAAAATATGTACTTAAACGCGTATATTATATATATAATTGCGCGAGCTGTTTTAAGGTTGCTTAGATAATTATGCAAAATTTCCATCCCGCAGAATTTAAATTCCGATTTAATCGGTTGAAGGTGTTATGCTATTTGAAATAATTTCCACCATAGATTTTTGGAGAGAGAAAATTTACATACAAACGCAGTGTTTCCTCGCCGTGAAAATATATTCCGACCTTAATGATCTCGAATCTGCAAATGACGTTACGCGCTAATTACGAGTTCGCAGTGTGTGTATATGTGCGTGTTGCCGCACTTTAAAAACAACTTAATCGCGCACAGAAGAAACACCTACCAAGATCTGCCAAGAGATACATTAAACTCGCAGACGTTTCACGCTACACACAGAGTGCAGTAATGACAAAATCAGCCGTACCTTACAATCCAGAACAAAACATTAACGGAGCAGAGGGAATTCACGAACCGCGCGCCATATGGCGCGGGGGCTTCCCGTGCAGGAAGCTCGCTAGGGTCCGCGAAATTAGCCGCAGATACCCGGGATTTCGCTTGCATAAGCGCCGTCGCAAAAACTCAGAATTCGCGAGAAGGATGGCTCGCGTAAGGTAGGGGAGTTATAGCGACAGATTTGCAAGTGGATACAACTGTGCAGGGTCGGACGATGATTTTTCCGAGCTCTCAAGCTGCTAATGCTATATCTTGAAGAATCCCTCGTTTCAGAGAAACACCTAAACAGATATCGTCCGCGAAAAATTAGATATTTTCTGCGTAACATAATTCAAACAACACATTGTTTAGCGCGTCTTGATTCGCGAAGAAATGAAGTTGAATTTTCAAATCTTCTTGCGTTGTATCGCAAGTACAGATAAATAAAAAAAAACGTCGAAGACAACGTGCTTCTTTAAATTACGCAACAATATGTGAATTTTTTTAAGTATAAATATATGTAACAAGAACTACAAAATTATGTGCAAAACTTCTCAATAAAATTTCATAACAACTGCGAGTCTTACGTTTTTCTCTCTGTTGGGAACTTAAGTTTTGCGTTCTATACACAAAGACGTCCGTCCCTGTAAATATAACGCTGTAACCGTAGAATAGGACATGAGAGAAAGAGAATACGAAACAGCAGAGAAGCGAAGAGAGAGAGAGAGAGCGACAAGAAAGGATGAGAAGGAAAGAGGGGGTAGAATAGCGAGAAAAGAGAGGAGAAGCGAGTAGTAAGGCTCTTGCAAAACATACGCGGCTGAATCTGACACATCCTCTGGCAGTCTGTTGGCTTTTCCAGGATGGCGAGGGGGCGTACAAATCTAGACGGTTACTTACTGACACACACAGCATTTTGCTGTCGTGCCGAACTTTCTCTCACTTGCGCCCGCGAACGCATAAGCTCGTCGCTCGGCTCTCTCCCTTCGGCTCACTGCCTCTCATCTCCACCCTCTCGACAGTATTGTATTGTATTAAAGCTGCGGCTCGTGTTGCGGCTTGACAAAAGCAGGCGCGCGACCTACCCCCGGCGCGCACTCGGCCTCTTCTAACCCATCCCTGTATACCCTTGCCGCGTAATCCACCCATCTACCTCGCTCTCGCGCATCCCGTGGCGCTACAGAACCCGGAACACACTCTATTATTCACGTAATTTAAACCGCAAATGACAGATATCCTAAATGCCCTTCTGGTCAGGCCCGATCGGCCGATTTCGATTTCGGCCAGAGACCTGTCGTTTTGTCAAAAGTATGACAGCCGCAACAGGCTAATTAAAACACGTGCGCAAGACTCGCGGAAAATATGTGCTACGAGCGAATTGTCACGAGAATAATCGAATTTTTTTATTGATACAGGGACATCCCTTTCACAGACACGCGCGTTACATCGCACGTATATACTTTTTTTATGTCATTTTACAATATTTGCTATTAACTATTTAAAAATTTTGTTTTAAGTGTAATTACATATACACAGTATAAAGGAAAATATTTTTGTCGCTTTTAACGTTTTTGCACGTGTTTGTACATGTCCAAAACACGCCTGTTTATGTAAAAACGCTTGTGTACATATGAGATAAAACTATATATATATATATATATATATATATATATATATATATATATATACACATATATATGTATATATATATATATATGAGATAAAATATTCAACACTATTTGTACGTATAATATTGACATGTTAATATAAACAACGTAAACTGCACATATTCTAACTTCAATTTCATATAAACAAGATATTACTTTTACTCTATGTGTTAATAACGGATTTTATGAAAGTTTAATTTGTTTTTTAATTTTTTAACTACAGTAAATACAGCATCCTTCAAGCAATTTTCTTTAAATAAAAAAATAACGTTTTTTTAATTATAGAGAGATAGAATATAAAAAAGTGAAGAAAGATAAAAATGTGAGAAATAAAACATGTATTTGTACATGTTTAATATTTTTCCTAAAATAAAAGTTGGAAAAAAATCTGTAACATATATGTTTTATCATATTTTTTTTATCAAGCAACTTATATTTTTGGTTCGACTGTCACGTTGACACATTAGAACTATCCACTTTTCTGCCGGACGATTTGCCAAACTTAGTTTCCACTCATCATCTTTCTCATTCCTGCGCTGTCGTCAAGTTTCAAGATGAACCTCGACCGCGACTCCATCAAAAGTGCTTCCAACCCTTATCAGACGCATCTGACTCTGACACGTGATTCGAATTTGCCGCCTACCTGCGATGTCAGCGGAGCTCTTTAAAGTTATGACGTACACCTATATTAGGAAACCGCTTTGAGAAACATGCACAGTTTTATCAAATAATGATACTTATTCTTAAACATAAACAAAGCAATATGTAATCAAGTTTGCGCAATTTTCGAGAATAACATATTTTTGACATGATAGCTACAAAGGCACACGGCAGTTTTGAAACACGAATAGTTTCCAAACGCGACTATATGTGTGTGTGTATGTGAAAATTATTCTTAATAAATCTCGCGCGCGAGAAGTGTAGCCTGAAAAGCAACTTTTCGCGACTTTTCCAGTAGACGACATCCACGATGCATTGCTCTTAGTCTTTATACCGAGAAGATGCGTACAACAGTTCAAATTAACGAGAGGCTTTTCGTGTATCTTGGCCGTTATTACAGTGTTAAGTTAACGCACTGTGCTTAAACCCGTATTTACGACAGCTATGCAAAATCCTATTGTCCTTGAGCGGGAATTTGCATTGTCGATCGATAGAGCGAAGCGTCAGACATTTTTAATTTATCGCCACACTGCGCAACTACCGCTCAGTCGCGACTATGTGCAACTATGTTCATTATTATTTTATTCGCTCACAATAAAATCGCGACACATTTAAAAAGAGAGTATCACTGGAAGTTTCAAGTTCAACCGTGTTCTCGAATTATATAAAAGAATATTTCTCACGACTAAAGTTTCATGAATGAATCAAAACAGACGCACATCACAATATCAATTTTTTTAAGCAAAACCTTTTACATGTCGTGCTCTTCTCTTTTATTTATTGCCGTATTAATAATCGATATATACGCTTTATATCTTACTTAAAAGTTTGCTCTTACACAAACTTTTATTTAGTCTTTTTTTATACAAATGATTAATAGACAGTACTTAATGGGAAAGCTGCTATAAATTATAATAAAAGAAAATATCTATAATAGAAGAAAGTAATAAATATAATTATAAAGAAAAGCTGTGTCATAAAATTGTTTGAGAGCAAATAAATGTTACAAATGAACATTTCTTTTCTAGACGAGACATTCTGATATTTTTCTTCGTTCCACCAACAATATTACCTTTTACGCTCAATCTAAGCCCTCTTCTTTTTGTAACGAGAAAGAAGAAGGACGGACGAGTCATATGTCGAAGGTAATGGCGCGTTAGTGAGTGATTTGTATCCACCTGTCTGTTTTTCCGTACGTTTATATTTTCTCCTGTTACTCCCTCTTGCGTATACAATTTGAATATTTTATTTCTGAAATAAGATATGTATAAGCGCATTTTGCGATTTTTTTTTTTTTTTATTTTATACACGTGTCAATCTCTCAGGAGAAATATATCACAAAATCTTGCCTAATATTGATACGAAATGTATTAAACCTAAAAAAATATAACGCGCAGAGATAAAATAAGAATAGAAATTGTTATGTTTAAAAAAACTTTCAATTTTTTATTCTAATTACGTCTATAAATTCTATTATTTGGCTACTTTAACACGTATGTGTTCGATACGAATATCTTTATCTTTTATTCACCGTTTTCCAAAACGTTGTATAAACAACGTCGTCATATTTTTAGCAATCGCTGTTAACGATACGATTAAAACGATTCCGATAAGTCCCACTCTCATCGAGAGATGAAGTTCTCCGAAGCGGTGAATGCCGTCTTTGTATTCTCGCGACGAAAAAATATAAAAATAAAGTCCTCGCGCATCGTGCGCACACGAGGCTTGAATTATTTCTCCCGCAAAGCTGAGTGAGAAGCACCAGACCAATGGACAACTCGCTCACTTATTTAACGTGGCCCCAAGCAAACTGATCGCGGGACATGCATTGAATATTTCACACGAACCGCCTCGTTTTTTTTTTTCCGTCGCTCCGGTTGCTTTTTAAAAATTCGTGTGAGGAGCCGGCAGCCTCGATTCTTCTTTGAAAGATTGAACGGCCGTTTCGCATCCACGAAAGGAAAGTGTTTCCCTACCCAAGATGCGCGTCGTGACGCTCGTATTGCTATCAATTTCACTATTTCGCGCCCTCCAACACGCCCGTGGATACAGTATTCTGGGTATTTGTCCGAGCACGAGTTACAGTCACCAACAACCCTTTCAAGCATTGATGAAAGCATTGGCGGCTCGTGGCCATAGGGTTACCGTCGTATCAACAATTCCTCTAAAGGTACGTACATCTTTCTGTTCCCTCACACATCTCTCTCGGCAGCCCTTTACCGCAACTAATCCGCAAACGACACTTTCCCCGTGTATCTAAACAGTTTACAGATACTATAGTCAATTAAAAAAAAACTAAACTGTCACGCGATCGTGAGAGTTATCAGGTGGGTAAACTTTGCTTTAAAACTTCACTCTCTTTATGTGAGTTTATTTACAATAACAAAACCTACTTTAAACAGAGACCGGCGAATGATAAATGTTTAATTTAATGTTTTTCTTTTCACACTTTCTTTCCCTCATCACTTTGCTTTTTTCATTTTTTTGCTCGTTTTTTTTCTGACATCTTTCTCTCAAGTCTCCTCAGATCATTCCTCTGATGTCTCACTCCGTTTTCCCCCGTCTTGTGTATATTTCCCTTTTCCATCTCTCTTTTTCTCTCTCTTTCTAAACTCGAGTTCAAAGTTACGCAAACTTCGTTTAGCTTCAATTTACTTCTACTAACATTTCTCTTTGCTGAATGTGTCTTCTCACGGCCTGATGGTCCTGTTTCTTTCGCGGCAAAATTAGGGATTAAATTGTTCACGTAAACTGGCAAAATCTAACTAACGAAAGCATAATTGCCTAGCACACACAAACTGCAGTATTCTATCACTTTCTCTCCTTATCTGTTCTTATCTCTTTGTATCGATTTATTTTTTGTAAGATTATATATTTTACGCATGCAACATGTAAACTTTGTTTCAAATTTTCCAGAATCCTCCGTCAAATTACGACAATGTTGACTTATCATTTTCGTATAAAAAGAAAGATTGCACCGGTTTAAGGTACAAATACGCATGAAATGTTTATTATATTTTGCACAAATTAAATGTACAAAAAAAAACAAAAATTTTTTTATATTACATGTACACAGTCATTAAAATCTAATTATATTTAGTAATTTTGAGTAATTGTTTTAACAGGCATATGGGAGCTTACACATTGCTGCACAAAAATATGTGGGAAGCGAATAAACTATGCAGGGAACAATTGTTCAGTCGTGCCATCGACAATCTTGTAGCGTAATAAAAGTCATATATATTTAACTACTTCATAAACTTCAGCAAGTTTCTTGTTTTTATTTCAATAATATGAGTAATGTACATAGGATACAACAAAAACGACTAATAGTCTTTATTTTTCAGCTGAAACTTTTCAACTAAAACAAATCTCTAGCTCGCGTTTTTGCTTGCAGGAGTAATAAGACGTTCGACGCAGTCATTATAGAACAATTATGGTTCCAGTGTTATTACGCCCTCGTAAAGTATTACAACTTTCCGGTGCTGATGGGATTTTTGAGCGTGGGCAATTTGCCTTACGTGATGGATTCCGTGGGTAAGCATGTCGCGTGTGTAAACGCACCGAGGAACTCACGAATCTCATTGTTTGCCATCGTCGCTCAACTCGAGTAACAATGCGCGAGAGCGTATACGAGACCGGTATCGGACGAACTTTTCTTTTTCTACTGGTGTTTCGCATCCCCGAGGGTGAGCAACGAACGGCAGCGAACGTCCCCGTCGTTACCGCGCGCGGAAATTGACGTAAATTGTCGGTAAAGCAGAAAGTGCGAGCAATTGGAGACTGGGGATCTTCGTGGAAAAGGATAGATTACTCGGTAGTGCTTTAACTTGTACCGGTCCGAGCCGGAGAAGCGGCGATGGAAAAGTAGCGAGGTAACGTCAGTTCGCTGCCATTCGATTCCTTTACCTTGACGTAATTGAAGATACCCGAAAGTACTCGTTCCGAATGAACGTAATAGACCGTGAAATAGATTGCCGTGGCTGCTACTGAAATATTTCAATTAAAACCGGGCGAGTTTTGAGAACGCGGACACGTGCTGAAGTAATAACATTCCCTTCATTGATCCGACATAATCTTTCTTGGTGAAGTTTCCGAAGAAATATATGTATATAGAAAGTATCGTGTAACCTGTCTGCCTGTCGCGATTTGAGAAGAAGCTTTATTGCATAGTAATTTTTGTTCGTATACTTTAGCGAAAATAATAAAAAATATATATATATAATTATGATGGGAAGCAAAGCAAAAAACGCGATGCGTGAATATTTAGAAAATTCACGTTTAATAGTTTCACAATTAGAATGAACTTTTCTCAATATTTATTTCATACGAAGAATATGTATCTCAACATGATTGACAGGAAATCCAGATGATCCTAGTCTTAACCCAGACATGGCGTATCCATTTACGAACAGAATGGCAATCAAAGAGCGTATATGGAATATCCTTTACACAACGTGGACAAGATTGTATTACCGATACTGGCACTTGCCGAGGGCCCAACGCATCGCTAATGAATGGTTGCCCGGTACATCCGTCTACGATATCGATAAGAACTACAGCCTGGTGATTCTGGGCAACAATCACGTGTTTGGTTATCCGAAACCACTACTGCCACACGTAATCGAAGTTCACAGTTTACAAATATCAGAAGAACTCGAGTTACTGCCTGAGGTATGTGTACGATATTATTATAGTGTATTTGATAAAAATTATAAAGATTTGAAACTGTTTGAAAGTTTAACAGTTATTTTCTATAATATATATTTTTGCTTCAAGTCGCATTTAACGTCACATTTATAGCAAAACTAAATTGCAGAGACATAAAGTGAATAAATTTAACGTTTCATATCTCGAAAGTTAAACGCGCAACGACGTTTAACGATTCCCTGTCCGAGAGTTGATACTTTTACGTCGATTAAAGCTTCGCTTTTCTGCCATTCCTAAGTACATTTAGGGAAAAGCAAAAATGTGTGTGTCGTACAAGAATGATTTCTCCCGGGAAAATACATACTATTCTCGCAGGTGACCAGTAATAGTCAGTTGGAAAGAAGTTTACCAACGACTCAGCGCGCGGCGACGTAAAGGTAAACGTCATCGCTATTTACCGCGAACCGTTGTAAGTCTCCCGAGAGAGATGAGAAGAAAAATATTATTAGGAGAGTGTATCCCGTTGAAGGGAGATCCGCCGCATAACAAAAAAAAATAGACTCGAGATTATCTTTACGTAATAGTCAGCTTCGACATTGATCCGAACAATTGAGCGCGAAAAGTGAGCTTTATAGGTAATTTATACTTCGAGAAAAACAGAATTCATCAGATTTAGTCTCCACGTGTACTAAAGAGAAAGAGAAAGAATACTTAAAGAAAATGTAATTTATTAAACATTTTATAATCTTATGAAGGAACTCGAACTAAAGTTATATTCGACAATTAGTGCGAAGACAATGGCAGAGGGGTAACTGCAGTTACCACGTGATCCCGAAACGATGTAGAGATACAGAACGTGACAATGTGTGCTCGTCTTTATACACATACACTCGGACATATCGAAATCCGTGAACAGTTGTAATTAATAGAACAAAGCCTTCGGCTACACACTGCGCATATGGCATTACCATCGCAGTGCCTGCCATAAAAGCCGGACTACGTTTCGTAATTAACAAAGGAAGTTGTATTATCAGTAATATCAGTCGCATTAATAGCACAATCGGATTCACTTGTGTCCTATCACAGCGAGTAATGTAACTTTGCAAATGCAAATTGCAGCCCGGTAGATTCAATAAATAACATAAAGAGACGAGAGGAAGCTTTTAATGAGATGTTTTACAATACAATATAAATGTGGTCTCTTAAAGGAGAAATATGTGAGTTCGACTTTACGATCGAGCTTTCTACTTTAATTGTTTTGTAAAAATTTGAACTTCTGAGAACAAGATGCCATTAATTCATATGCAATACAATATAATCATCTGTTTTCACAGTTTTACATTCGTATCGCTCACGACATGCTTTGGCCGCAAGTATATCTTCATTCGTTACACTCTTCTCGGCTTGATTAAGTTAAGATACACTGAAATTTCCATTTTTATCCCAGGAGATCCAAGAGTTCTTGAACAATGCTCGGGATGGCGCCATTTATTTCTCTCTGGGCTCGAACCTGCAAACTCACCAGCTACCCATCGGGCTTTTGACCGCATTGTGCAACGCCCTGGGCTCGCTCAAGCAAAGAGTTCTATGGAAACATGACGGACACATGGCCATTCATCCGGCCAACATCAAATTTGTGAAGTGGGCGCCCCAGCAAGCGGTCCTCGGTAAGGCTGCTCAGAGCAAAACTGACCACCATCTCTTTACCTCGTTCCCTTCTACGAAAAGAGCCGGATCAACCGACGCGAAATATGCACTTACCAAGCGATTTGACAAAAAACATTTTATGCTAAAATTTTCTTTGTGCTTGAAAATAGGAAATCGATAGGATTATGAAAGAGGATCACGAGAGAATATCTTATTTGACAATCTTGTTGCTGTGTTTTTTTTTTCGCATTAGTCACGCGATCCTCGTTTACACAACGCATTTTCAGCTTTGATTTGATGGTATAATAGAACAAAATTTATAAATAGTCTGTATTTATCTAAACAATACAGTAAACATCTTATTAATCAATCCGTAAACGATAATCTCTGTGCGATAAATAAAGATCGTTATTGCTCTTGCTGGCTCATTAATATCTCACCGAAACTTTTCCAGCGCGAGTAAAATCCAAAACTCCAACTTAATTGTTCGATCTCGTAAGAATCTCGTGGCAATATATATATATTACCAAAGTGCTTAACAACTCGTTTACGATTACCGTAAACGAGTTGAGAAACTTATACCTGGATCGTTAGTTACACTCTTATTTTGTTATCGTGTAACCAACCTCTCTGGATTTTGCCATTATTCGCAGATTGGTTTAGCAAAATTCATCGTGATAAAGATATACGTATACAACAACGACGATGACAATGTACCGACTATATCGCTAGCAGATATTTAACAAAGTTATAAGTCTTCGACTTTTAGCATCGCTTTTATCTATACAAAAGACGTTAATTTTCCTTCAAACTGGATGTAACATTCTTTAGACGCGATCTTCTTTACGGTGTTTCGAGTCTTTAAACCATTTCAACTTAATTACACAACTACATTGCGGCCACGTTATTTTGCAGTGTCGCTTAACACCAACAAAACAAAGACGCAAAACAAGTTTTCCTTTACATAGAGAAATATGCGCGCGGGGCTGAATTTTAGCCGAACGAATTTCCGGCGATCAAAATGGCATGGCAACGTTTTCGAAATGATCATCAAAGCCCGTCGTCACCTCCGATCGAGAGATATCACGTTACTCGAATGTTTGAATTTTCGAACGTGGCGTTTGCCGACTTTCTCTATCGCATATCAAAGAAAAAAGTATAACGTGAAATATAAGAAAAGCCGATGCACACGTCGATACCAGACTCGCCTTTCGAAAAAGAGTGAAATCCGTTATTTTTGTAGTAGCCGTTTAAGGATAAGAATTGCAACACGCAAAAAGAAACGATAAAACAACGTCGCGCAGCAACACCGTCGCGACCGACGGAAAATACGGCCACGGTCTTGTACAGAGAGAACGAAGCGAAACGATAACTCATGACGCATGCGGCGGTGAAATTCTCGCGGGAAATTCTGACAAACAACTCCTGCTGGCAGTAACGCAACGGGCTCGATGCAAATGCACAAACGTGCACAAAGTTTTGCGCGCACATTGATAGACAGGCGGCGGTTGCCTGCGCGCGAAGAACATATACTAATGCTGGAAATGCGAATTGGTAACTAGAAGAAATGACGCAATTATAATCGCAACTTTGGAATTTCCGACGTGTAACAACCCATTATATATAACCTTTCGACCCCGGCGTTTTGGGACGTGTTCCATATCCCAACCTTGTTTCATTCTTCGCGAGATGTTTCGCTTCTATGTGGAAGAGAGAGAGAGAGAGAGAGAGAAAGAAAGATACCGTAAAATCGTATAAATTTAGTTTTAATACAAATGTCTTTGTAAATATGGAAAATCAATATTTCTTTTCAGTGATATTGAAATTAAAGTCAATAAAATTACAATTGTTGCGCATGATCTCTCTTCAAGTTCACAGAAAGGTACAATATGTGTTTTTTTCCTGATTGGGAAATATATCACATTACGTATCATGAAAAATCCCATTCCGACATTTGTGGCCGAGAAAAAATGCACATTGAGCAGAATTTCGCCGGAAAAGTCCGCGCGCGCGTTGATACCCGAATGCGATCAATCGGCCGTGAAGAGCAACGCGAAAAAAATAAATACGACAATGTGAACATTTTTATGAAATCTAGCCCATCTCGCTTTCAATTGCTCGTGATCAGTGCTGGAACTTTGCTCTACCAGTGTACCTCTTGTCGATTTTTATGTTTGTTTTTTCTTTTTGTTGCGTTTTCTTTCTGTCTTGCACACACGTTACATCAATAGTTCGACAATGCTCGCAAATAATCCGAAAAACATCATTTTACAGTATTTTATGTACTTAGACCGCTTTTATATATGCAGCGCATCCCAGAGTGATGGCGTACGTGATGCAAGGCGGATTGCAGTCGTTGCAAGAGGCAGTACACTATTCCGTGCCGGTAGTCGCAATACCTTTTTTCGGGGATCAACTTTTCAACGCACGTAAAATCCTAGACGCTGGTATTGGACTGAAACTGAACATCGATACCCTGACTGAGGACTCCGTCGTACAAACGCTCGTGGAAATCGTCAAAAATAAAACGTAAACATAGTTTTCACACACAATGGTTTTGACAGTGTAAACTTTCAAAGATTAATTCTAATATTTTTTTTGTTAAATCAAATTTCTAGTTTTTAAATCATTTTATATGTTTTACATAAACTACATTTGAGAGAATGCGTAGTAAACCAATTTATAATATGTGAATAAATTACTTAATTAACAAATAAACGCAGGATTGAATCTTTGAAAGAACTGTTAATATGTAGAGACGTACAAGTATTTTATAGTTTAATTAAACTTAATTCCACAGATATCTGAACAATATTAAAAAAATGTCGGCAATTGTGCGAGACGAATTGGTAAAACCTATGGAGAAAGCAGTGTGGAATATAGAACATGTGCTAAAGTTTCCAAACTCGAAACACTTACGATATCATTGGCATGACATGTCATGGATAGATTATAGCGCACCGTTTCTATGCTTGACTATATGTTTTGCTTGTTTGCTGAGTATATTTCTCGCTTGTATTTGCGTACTTTATATCGGAATTAATAATTTTATTAAAACCAAATGGATAGATAAAAAACAAAAAAAAATGTAAAAATTCATTGTATATTATTACTAACTATACGAATTGAGTTTCTTATACTATTCTTGATTGTACTATGAGATGGAATATATTATCAATTTTTTTGTATCAAATATATTTCTCATTGTAAACATTATTACATTTTTATTCCATCTTAATCTTCTTCTGCGTGAATATGTTCAGACTATACTTCTTATAAATATTTTGTTTTAATATAGAGAAAAACGATCTTTATTTCAAAATGAACAACTGTGAGTAATTATTTTAAATTTTCGATAAAGATTTTGTTTACAATCGATAATTTAGTAAAGTTATATTCGTAATTGTATCAACTGATAAAATAGATACTTTACTTTCCTGTCGCATTTCATGTTATCGTCTGTCGCTACAGAATAAACTTTCGCGCATGTAAAATCTATCACTAGTTACCAGAGAAAAATCTGAACAATTATGAGCGAATATATTATAAAGCATACGTAGCGTTTTTTTAAAAAAGAAAACAAGATGTATAAATGTAAGCAGCAAATAACGATATAAAAAGAAACGCGTACCTGATTACACTCCAGAGATTCTGATGCTGCTTGCTGAAACCTTGCTGTTTTTCTGACGATCACATATATTTTGAGTGAAAAGTTGCACGTCTTCATATAGTTTTCTTGGTTTTTTCCACAAGTTCACAAAACAACTATTTCAATTCTTGAAATAAACTGAATCGACGCGTGCGGTAGTTCGCTATATATTCACACACCTCTAAAAACGCAAAACATACAGTAATTTTGTATTACATATTAACAACAGCAAATAATGATTTGAGAAGATGTACTTACTTGATCACGTATAATTGTGTAGCTGCAACAACGCGCGTGCATGACAATTCATTTCTTATCTTTCGCGGAAGCACGAACTGCCGCGATATATTTTTATCGCAAACTCGCCGATTACCGCGATGCTAATTGCGTATTGTTGCGAACGTCCAATACGCTACGATACACACACGTATTATTGATATTTGCACGCAAAACGACAACAATCGCGACAATTACGCGACAAATTACGAGACAATTCGAACGTAATTGTATTTCTCCGCGTCGCGCGACCGCCATTTTTTTTTGTGCCGCGCGCTTTGCGGAAGCGCGAGAATGGTCGCGACACATTTCACCGTAAAAATTGCCGATTAGCATTTACCGGGTGCGATTATCATGCTAATTATGAATTACCCGAAACACCGGACACTACGCGACACGCGCGTACTACCGATTTTCGCGCGAAACAACAGTAATCGCAATAAATGCGGGACAAATTGAACAAAGTTCAGGCCGAAGCACAGAATTTTGCTTAATGCATAACGCATAAGACAATAAGAGAATCAACCAATCAAAGCTTAGAACAAGAAGTAGGGACGAAAACGAAAAGCTGGATTGATTGATTTTCTTATGTCTTATGCGTTACGCAAAAGTCTGTGCTTCGACCTTTCCACTCTGCGACGCGCGTCCGCCATGACTGACCGCCGCTTCGAGGACCGCGCTGTATCGAAGCGCGCGATATTTCGATTGTCGAGATATCGACGCGAGCGGCAGAACGCGCGCGCGCACAGCGCGGAACAGAACCAACTCAACCAATGAGGTCCGAATTCACAGTCGTTTCTCAAATCTTAGATCTCGTCTCCAATCTCAAATATCAGCTGTCAGATTTCGAATCTCCAGCCTCAAATTTCAGTGTGGTTGCTATTCGTGATATTCGGTTTTTCATGACCGAACGAGAGTATGAAAGCAGAGAGAAGCCTGAGGAGCGGCCACGGCCATAAGAGTTTCCGCGATAGCTTTTCGTGGACATGGTTCTATTCCGTGCTATGAGAACACCACGACGTGGTGAGGGGATACACAAGCGAGAACCGTCGTCATACATCAATATAATATGTCTGCACTCTTCCACGAGCGCACACGAACAACGGTCTCGGGCTTGTGTGCGTAGCTCCACCACGTCGGTGTTCTCATAGCACGAAATAGAACCATGTCCACGAAAAACTATCGCAGAAACTCTTATGGCCGTGACCGCTCTCAGGCTTCTCTCTGCTCTCACGCTTATCTCTGATAGAAGTCTGTGATGTGATCATAGAAAATGCAATGTTGCCATTTACCCACGCGCCATTGTGACATCCCGACTCCGACGTAGCAACGTGGCTACGACGGCGCGGCCTCGGCGCGTCCTCGGCATTTTCACGTAGTATTTTATACGGTGCCGCGAAAACGATGTGTGCACAGTGTCTGGACGTTCTGTAAAACACGGTGTGGAGCATATTGATTCTATATTGCCGTAACGCACTTTCTTTATTATGAATGACGTCAGACTTGTATCGTAGAAGCTGCCTGTGTGGATCTCTTCGTGCTAGATCGCAATTCACATTTTTGTTGCTTACACTCTCTCTCATTTTCACGTCTTGATCATCGTCTTTTTCACTGTAAACAGGTATGTAAAGAAGATACGAGAAATTTCTCTGAATGTCGCAGACAAAGCTGAGCAGTTATACGCGTTACGCATTTCTTTATACATTACCGAGTTGTTAATTAAATGTAGACGTCAATTAAATGTAGAACAAGAGAGCGGGATTCTTTTGGCAAGCAAACTTTTGTTTATTTTTCAAGAACTGTATCTCGAATGTTTGCTGAATGAAACAAATCAGTCTCCTTGTTCAAACTCGAAATTGGATCAAAATCGCAAACAAATTTCCAGTGTAACTTATTGTTTACGGCACTATCCATCTCAATCACAGTATGCACCTATCACGTGCATACTGTGCGACATAGTAGCGTCATGTGTTTCAGACATAAATGTTTTATGGACCTTAAACGACTTATCTTCAAAAAAAGTAAAAAAGGCGCCAAATACGCGTACCACTCCTATTTTTATATGTGTATGACATATAAAAAGTACACATAGTGATTTATAGTTTTCTTAACTATCTTTGTTTGTTATTTATTATTATATGAGGTCAGTTTTATTTATCTGATAAGAGTGCTATCAAGATATCGATACAGATATAAAACTAATGTGACACTTATATGAAAAATATATTATGTCCACTACAAAACTATTCTGCTACTGTCTTATTAACAAAATGATATATTATGTAATTCTCTTTTTTGTTTTATCTCATTTAGTATTTGTATAAAACAAAATTATAGTTTTATTCTCTTATTTTCGGTTTATCTAACAAGTGATAAAATAGTTTGTAATGTGTAATCACAAAAATATGTAATTTACAGAACTACTTTATAAAATTTGCAATATTTTGTTTATTTTGTCAGGCACAATTACTAATGTAAGGATTTAGATAATATTCACATGATATTACAGCTCGAGTCATGACGAGAATTCGAAAAATTTGTTGCATCGGAGCCGGTTATGTGGGCGGACCAACGTGTAGCATTATCGCACTGAAATGTCCGGAGATAGAAGTAACCGTAATCGATAAGAATAAAGAGAGAATAGCACAATGGAATTCTCACAAGTTGCCAATATACGAACCAGGTTTGGACGAAGTAGTAAAAAAATGTCGTGGAAAAAATTTATTTTTTTCCACCGATATTGAGACGGCAATTAAAGAGGCTGATCTAATTTTTATTTCGGTAAACACGCCAACAAAGACCTTTGGTAATGGCAAAGGAAGAGCAGCAGATTTAAAATATGTAGAGAATGCTGCCAGAATGATCGCGGAAATCGCAATAGGCGATAAGATTGTCGTGGAGAAGAGTACTGTGCCAGTAAGAGCGGCTGAGAGTATTATGAATATCTTGCACGCTAATCACAAGCCGGGCAATTCCTACCAGGTAAAATTATCATTTGTTATTGCAAATATTACAATTATATTTTAACACACACACTTTCTCCCTCTCATTCTCTTTCTGACTCTATGTTGCATGCTTTCACATTTTTCAATATCGGTTATTCAAGGACAAAGTAGTATGATTCTCTTGCTTCACGTCATTCTTTATGACTTCTTCATTAGTCAGATGTAATCGCACGCATCATATCAATTATTTCTTTTATGTTTGTTGATATCATTCTTAATTATGTATCGTAGATACTTTCAAATCCAGAATTCCTAGCCGAAGGAACAGCTATAGAAGATCTGCTAAATGCAGATCGCGTGTTGATCGGTGGAGAAGATTCTCCTGAAGGACAAGCGGCTATCGAAGAACTGTGCAAAGTTTACGAACATTGGATTCCTAGGGAAAATATTCTCACTACAAATACTTGGAGCTCAGAACTGTCCAAACTTGTGAGTAGTTATTTTTTTATTATTGTTACAACAGTAATCGATAAAAATAATCAGTTTTATCTAAATAGCTATAGTACTGAGTCAATGATTTTTATCGGAGTTCATTTGCATATTATGGACATGTTGTTTACACACACACACGCGCGCGCAGACAAACACGTGTAATAACATAATTTAAATTCACTATCAAAAATTTACCGATGAATTTTTGATATCGACATTTTTCTTGGTTTAAACGACAACAATATTTCATCATCTCTGATTTTAGGCTGCAAACGCTTTTCTAGCGCAACGCATCTCTAGTATAAACTCCTTATCGGCGGTATGCGAAGCCACTGGTGCCGATGTGTCAGAAGTTGCTCGAGCAGTCGGACTTGATTCTCGTATCGGTTCAAAGTTCCTACATGCGTCAGTTGGATTTGGCGGTTCCTGTTTTCAAAAAGATATTCTGAATCTCGTGTACATCTGCGAATGTTTGAACTTACCTGAAGTAGCGGCGTATTGGCAACAGGTGATCGATATGAACGAATATCAGAAATCAAGGTTTTCCGCGAAGGTCATCGAGTCGCTTTTCAACACCGTAACGGACAAGAGAATTGCTATGCTAGGTTTTGCTTTCAAGAAAAATACGGGAGACACGCGCGAATCACCAGCGATACATGTTGCCAAGACTCTTCTGGATGAAGGCGCCGTTCTTCACATTTACGACCCCAAGGTCAGTTTTTTCTTTATGCAAGATATTAAAGATTTACTCGCCACAATATCTGTGAATTAATAATTGAATGTCTAGAAGGTCAACCAGTTTCTTCAAAAATCCTTTTAACGTAAACGTACACTCCTTTTAAAAAAATAAAGTGCACTTTATTACCTAGTCGATTAATTCATTAATTAATACTTGTCATATTATTGTATGCATTTCTTTTTGACACCTTTTTCTAACAGGTCGAAGAAGCTCAGATTATTCAAGATTTGACTCATCCGAGTGTAACAAATAATCCCGAAAATATAGAAAAGCGTATCAGTATTTACAAGGATGCTTATAGCGCTACAAAAAATACACACGCTATAGTATTATGTACGGAATGGGACGAATTTATCGTGAGTATCGACACACTAACTTATAGATAATATAACTCTCGTAAGGTATTTTATTATTTTAATATTTTTAAATTATTTTAAATTTTATTATATTGATGTGCAATGTTACAGGAGCTGGATTATACGAAGATTTATACAGATATGATGAAACCTGCTTATATTTTTGATGGAAGAAAGATTTTAAATCACGATCGACTACAACGAATCGGCTTTGTTGTTCAGACTATCGGAAAAAGGCTTGCGAGATGTAAAATTTCGAGAGCATGGGGTAGCCAGACGCAAATTTAAAAGAAGACAGACCAATCTGAGATCAATACTTCTACTTCGATGATTATCTATAATTTTATCGAGAAGATTGTTGAGATTATTCAAACATATTGACGCATTTTTTTAAGTTCGAGATGTCTCGTTTCCTAATGATACACAGACTGTGCATCGTAACACTGTGTAAATGTACATTCCAGTCAGAAACGTAACTTCAATTCAAGGTCGATTCGACATTGATATTATCGCGCAAACACCGAAAGGAAAAGATTCTCCCTTCCGTTTCTTCCTCTTGTCATTTTTACGTATACTCCGACTTCTAGTAGTACGTATACATGTAAATGTACGTTCGTAAAGATTTCGCGATTCTCTGAATATGTTGTTCATGAATTAACGTAATTACATTGCGCAATTAACAGGAAACTTAATAGAAACATAATCGTCGAGAGACGATTTCCGTAACACGTCGTAAAACGTTTAGAAAAATTAAAAAATAAATCAATTTGGACGAAAATCCAATTTGACTCAACCACTCAGACAAATCGAATCACCGTTGAATCGACGTTATTTCTGACTGGGAAGTGTTACTTTTGCGTTAATATAGATTTGTACCCTCTTTCCTACAGTTAATACATAATATACTTATAATATACTTATGTAGCGTTAGGGGAGGAAGAGACAGTATATGAGATATATGAATGCTTCTTTTTAAACGGTTTAATATTATATATGTTCAAGAAACACATGTTTCATTATATTTTTTTCAATATTTTATTGAATATGTTAAAAGACCTTACTTGTACTTTGAAAATATAAAAAAAAGATAAACGTACGCAATGAAATCAAATATTTATAAAATATGTTTTTTATGATATTTATAAACGTTGAAATACGTATCAATATATCAATATTATATATTAATATATCAAAACTAGAATATATATTAATATATAACATTGTATATTAGTGTATATTAATGTTCAAAAAATAAGACTTAAGATTTTTGTGCAATTTTATATTTTTCTAAACAAAACTTTCTTTTAGAATATGTTTTTATCTCACTTTATATTTTAATTACTTTTATTTTAATACTGCATTTTAAGGAAATATAAAACTTATAAATAACTGTTGTCGAAAAAATGTTTTGTCACAGTATCAAATATATACTTTAAAAAAGTACGAAAAAAATAGAAAAACATGCCAGTTTTAAGTAAGTTTTGTAAATATTTTACGCAACTTTAATTTACATACATAAGATCTCGTTAAGAATATGAATATGTGTACGTGTATATTACTGGAAAAAACATCGTTATGATTGTATATTTATACATATGTAAAAATTATACACGTATAGATGCAATAGACAGTTACGTGCATATAGACAGTTTCTAAAAGAATACAAAATATTTATAAATAAATATTTGTACAAAAAATACAAATGTCTTTATAAGACAAAATTCCCTGGCTGTTTGTGAAAATAAGAAAAAAAGAAAAGAAACTATATACACATTTTTAATAAAAAAAAAAAAAAGAAAGTGAAGAGCAAACGCTCTGACAAAAATTTAATTTACAAGTTTATTTGAAACTGAATTTTTTTACAGCGCAAAGTGTTGCTTAAATCCACAATACACATAGGTTTGTTTTATTTCCCTGCACTGGCTGCACTAGTTCATAGTCTATCTCTTTTTATCCTTATCAGAAGGAAAAATATAAATTCTGAACTGTGCAGCCACACACACACACACACAGTTCAGGAAAATAAAACCTAATGTTTTTTTGTGCTGTATCACATGCCGACATCGCGACGATTTGACAACATTCTTTTACTCCCAAATCACAATTGGTGGATTCTGATGTTTGCATGCAACTTGGTATAACGAAAAGCACGGTGTGTGCCGCAAACTTTAAACTTTTCCATTAATACTGAAAACTACAATTCTACGCAAAATTGGTGCGTGCGCAAATCATTTCGCAGTAATGTATTACTCTGTCATTAACATCTCCGCTGTCAACACAAAAATAATGTAAAATATTTTCGAATTATGTGAAAAAATGTCAACAAAAAAACATTATTTCACGTAAAAGTAACAAAAAAGTTGTAAATTTACATTTTATCTTTATTATTTTTTGCTTTTTTTATTTTAATCAAAAATTATTATAACTCGCATTATTTTTGAGTACGTTTACACAGTACACAGCGCGTCATTGAATCGCGGAATAAGTGCGGGATCGGAGAGCAAGCGGGGCGGCTGCTCGCCAACAAGCGCCGTACGAATCGTTCGGCCCGCTTGCCCTCCGATCCCCGCGTCTATTCCGCGATTCAGTGACGCGCTGTGTACCTGTAATCCGGTCTGTAACAAATTTCTGGAACAAAACTGATCAATCGGATCGATAAAACTGATTAGTCGACCAGTGCGTTTTATTCGCAAGAATTCCGAGGACAATTAAATTCGATTACTTATCGAGTGTTGTAAGCAGTCTGTTTTCGCAAAATCACTCGGAACGAAAGTTGCGTGATGGCGCGTGCGAAACTACATACAGCCCTGCGACAATGGCAATGTGTTCGAAGCGCTGTCGGCTGACGGAGCAGTAGCAGCAACACGAGTCGCAGTTGAACGATCGGAGCGTGAAAAGTCGTTTTTGCGAGCGAACCGCGTGACAGTCGCGTTGCGATTTACGCCGACATAGTCGAGTGCTAAACAAACAACAACGACGATAATGCATCGCGAGGCGCTACAAGACACGCAAGGTCGATTCTGTTGACGCACGGCCGCCTAGTGACATCCTTGTAGGACCAGCAGTGAATTTTTTCGAGCGTGCTCCTCGGTGTGTTCGTCAGCAATAGGCCGGGCCTGTCGCGGTAGGAAAATGGCGGCGCGCTTGCTGCGGCGGAGTCGTCGCACGACGACGACGACAGCGACGAGTTGCGCATGAGAAATTGCGAGCTCGCACGGCAAAGGAATCATCCGGTGTTTCGCGAAACTCTTTGTTCTTTTCGCGCAACAATCCTCAGTGTTGTTCGATCGGTAGGGAAAGACGTCGCGAGTTGAGAGAGAAAGAGAGCCGGAGCGACGTTTGCTCCGTGCTCCAATGTAGTGAACGGCGTATACGTACATACATACGCGCGCTTCGAAAAACAACAACGGTGCGTGCGAGTGCGCGCGTATATGCAACGCGCGGTTATCGGAAACCGCGTTCCTCGCTCTCGGAAGTAGACGAGTGTCTCTCACGCGAGCGCGCTCTTATGCGAGTAAGCGCCGCGCGTTGTCAACGGCGGCGACATCGGCAGCGGCGGCAACAACCGCGGTGACAAGTGTCTCGTCGGCGGGGCATCGCGACTCCTCGCCTCGCACCCCCGCGTCCACGGTCGCCGGATACCGATGATACCGCGGTTGCCGGCGGCAGCGCACGTCGCCGCCCGCGATTCCCGAACTCTACTTTGTCGCGATCGGCATTAAGCCGTGGCGGCCAAGGCCGGCGGCCTTACGAGGACGACGAGCCGGCAGGACGATTCCACTCACGGATCCGCGACAGCGGACGGCGCGATCACCACGGCGGACCACCGGCTGCTGCGGAACCTCCACGAAGATGAGAGGCGTCCGCGACGGCGGCATGGCGAGCCTCCTCGCCCTGGCGCTCCTCTGTTTGCTCTACGCGTCGTGTCCTGTAGACGGTACGTTTTAGTTTTTTCTTCATACAAGAGCGTTTGTGTACGTACGTGTATGTGTGTGTGTGTGTGTGTAACATAATATGACGTGCGATATGCCACAATGCGTAAAAAAGTTAACAAACGATACAAAGTTTAGATCTGATTCGAATTTTATGTTTATCAGTCGATATGTGTGGCAATGCGAGAAAGAGGGAGAGAGAGAAAGCGCTGAAATATGGGGAACTTGCGTGATAATTACAGTTCACACTTGTGCCCAAGTCCACAAAACATGTTCTACCGTAGGCGAATCGCGGTATTACAGAAAGTTACAAGTTACTATTGCAAAGTTAGGGCTCGCTGGTCTCAATTCTCAGACCCTATTGGCGAAGTTTGGTTGAATTAAGAGAACTTGAGGATTTTGGATTACACGGATACACTACGTAGTGGGAATTTTCAGAAATTGGATTGTAGTTCTGTTTATTGTTACGTATATTTCTGTACATTGTTTTACGTACTTTATTTATTACTTGCATGAAGTGTGCGCTATCAAGTATATACATATATATGTATGTACATAATGTTTATACAAATTTGAAATAACGTATTTTGAAACAAAAAAAAGTGACAAATTACGGTGAATTTGCAAATTAATTGCGCAAACATCACGTGTTTTCTTATTTAAAAACACAACGTTGAACGTGACTTAACTCTAATTGCAGAGTTGAATCTAATAAAAATTATATTTTGCAAGTCAGATCAAGAAATATAATGAGCACTATTATAAAAAACGTGATAGAGAAAAAATAGTACATTATATAATATAAATCATTTTTTGCTCTACTTATATAAGAGACAATGTTTAAAAACAATAACACGGTATTTACATCGCGAAAGTTGTGTAAATAATTAAATTGGAAGTAAAAAAGTTTAAGGAACACACTTATTTGTTTTATTCAAAGCTACAGAAGGAATATGTGTGAGATATTGTGTTATATAATTATATTGCACAACATTTATCGTGAAAAATTTGTTTCGTCATTTGATATTTTCGTTCGGCAAATATCGATTTGAGCCGCGCAAGAAAGTTTGTTGTTAAAATTTAAATCGCAAACTCCGGGGACGAAACAAAGATAAAGTGTTTGTACCACATATAGAATCTCCTCGACTTTCTCGTTAAACTTTAATATCGCAGTCTCAGACCTTCGATCGCTCCTATAACGAAAAAAGACCAAACACACATTGAACAATCTGAAAATTTCTTGATCACGTAATCATTCAAATTTTATTCTACAGAGTCTCGTCTCGTCGATGACTCGACTCTGGTGATTTAATATGGGCGAAAGAGAGGAAATCGCAAGATATTAAAAAAACGATTTCGCGATGAACAGCTTTGCTCGAACGCACTTCTGTTTGTCCCACGCGTTGCGCTTTGTGGACGATCCCTCTGACGCAGTGTGCGTTTTGTACACGCGTGTGCGTGAAAGTCTCTCTCTCTCTCCCTTTTTCTCACTCACATTCTCTTTTTCTCGCTTGCCCTCGCTCTCGCTCTTTCTCTTTTTATGTTTTTGTCGGGTTCGGTCTCCTTTCTCGCTCGTTCTTTCTTGTCGTTCCCGTGTAGCTCGCACACGTCCCTGTCTCTTCTTCTGTCTCTCCGCGCGCGCGTTTCCAGTCTCCGTTCCTCTCCTTCTCGTCCCACCCGTTCCCGCTCTTTCTCCCCTTCGACGGCGCGCACATAACGTTGCGTAAGTAACGCGCCGTCGTATACAGAAGGGCCGTTTAATCTCGTTGCTGCACGAAGTCCGAAAAGCATGCGGAAGGGTGAGCCGGTGCAGTCGGTACCTTCGACTCCGTTTTCCAAGAGCCACGCTGCTTCGAAGCCGCGCTTTAACCCTTCGACACGGGGGGTTGGAGGGAAAGGAAAGGGTTCTCTTATAACTATTTTAACCCTTCCTGTGATCGTTGTGTCTCTTCACTTAACATTAATGGCGAATTATGTGACGCACCTTTAATTAAACTTATATATTTGAATCACAATGGATAACGTTACCTCATTAATTTATAGCAGTGAATAAAAAAATTAGAGTATTAAATTTTTATATTAATATATATTATAAAAATAAAAATAACAACTTACATTAACATTTTCTATGTAGAGATTGTAAATGTTTTTTGTTGTATATCAGGGATTGTGATATTTAAAAATTTTAACTCTTAGATACACAAGTTGTCCGCGTTTTTTTTCAGTCTCTACGCAAATACACAATCGTTTCGAATCATGTGATTTGGTTATCCTCGCTATAATCGCTATGTTTGCTTCACGTTTGCTCCCGTTAAACAACTGCCTCGTTCACTCCAACGCACGAGATAGTACGCGTGTAAGCAATGGGATCTATGCTATTTATTGTTCAGATAACTGTTACTCTTCGTTGTGGGTGAGCGATCGCCGGTTGTATTTCCCTTCCGAGATTTTTAGTCTGTATTCTTAGCGCATCGAGAAGGAAGAAAGAGAAGAAGAAGAGTTCGTAAACCCCTTGATAGATACGAGGAAATTTTCAAGTGAAATCGTAACGCTAAATCAAGTTTTACGCAAGTTGTTTATTTATGATACTATTAGGAAAAGACAACACATTTGAAGAATTTGAAATTTAATCAGTTGTAAGTGATGTATTTATTTATTTATTTTTTTAACTTTTTCGACAATATCTTGACTTAAATCAATCAAACGGACTTATTTACATACAAATGTATTTGTTTATGCCGCCATCATGTCTGCGTTCTTATCTTCATATTTAATTAAGATGTATTCTGCGATCTGAGTGTTTCTTTAGTCGAGCTCCGATTAGAGCAAGAAAATTATTAAATAAATGAACGATTTTGTCTCACACAATACGTATACGTATAATTAAAATCTTATTTTACATGTAAAAAAGCAAATAAACCTCGAGGAACAAGTGCAAAAGAGCGAATTGTGTGTAAATAGCATGAAAAAATATTTGATACTTGTGTCATTATAAGAAAGACTTCGTTCGGAAACACTCGACTTAACGATATCGTTGGCGTAATGAAAGGAGTTTATATTCTCTCTCTTTCTCCTTCTCTCTCTCACATACCTTCCGCGCTTTATTCGTTCTCTAGTATCTTCGTTGTACCCCTCGTCTTACGATGAGACCGATGGCTCCGCTCTGATGGATTCGATGCTTGGTAATTGTCGTGCATGCAAATCGGGCTCTTGAATCCTCATTGAAAAAGCAGCACACGCTCCGACGTTCCTGCGACCGATAGTAGACGAAAGACTTGTGCACGACTGCCTCTTCGTCCCGGCGGTATACCTATACGTTGTTATTCCGCGAATTCTTACGGGTCATTAGAGTTTACAGGTTGTCTGATAAAACGGTTGCGGATCCGGCTAAAAGACCGGCTACGCACCCGCGCTATCGCTGCTACAATGTTAACGAGATTCCATGCATATACAACGTGTATATACACGGCCATAAAACATTCTGTCGTGCGCACGTAAAGGGAAATATTGACTAATTTTTCTCGTAGAAAATGTATTTATAAAATTGTGTTATAAAAATAACTCCGGTTGAAAATACATATTAGAAGAAATACATTTTTAACGAACTCTCGAGTTTGTCAAAGTTTAATGATAAATACTGATATTGTGTTATTGATTAATTGATTGTAGTATCAAATGTATGTACAAAAAATATATATGTATTCGCGTATTTGTGTTACAAAGTATTTACAAATATACAAAATTTTATTTATTATGATGATGTACTAATTATATTAACTTTAACTTGCAAAAGAAAGAAAAATACATTTACATGTACATTTTTTTTGGATAAAACAATCACATTTATTGTAAGAAAAATTTAAAAGGCTTTATACATTAGAATCGTAAAACACGAGCAGAATAAAACTTTGCAATAACATCAAAAGCCACATCGACACGAAGCGCCTTGATAAGTACCATTACATCGTGGCACGTTGTCGTGTTTGTAAGAGCGTCGTATATCTCTGTCGTAATAAGTTTTTGGAGGTAATCTACGATCATCGCGTCATTCGCACAAAAACCGAAGTCTCGCAATACGCAGATAATATTTTAACTCGCGCGCTCTGTCTTTACTGTTCAATAAAACGTCCAAGTCATAATATTTCCTCCCACGAGAGATACGAAGAGAGATCGAATGACGTAGATTGCAATCGATATCAGATAATGAAAAAAATATCCGTCTGTTCTTCTCTATCTCTTGATGAATTAGACAGCGTCTAAAATACTCTCGCAAGAAAAAAGATCGCTAACAGGAGCAGATGTTATTTCCGATATAATTTATGTGCAATTTACGCTCGATAAGTATTCAGTTTAAAACTATATTAAATTTAAATTTCTTTCTAAAGAAAAATTAAAACAAAAATTTTCTTTAACTCTTTTATTATCATTTGTTTCGTACAAAAAGAAAATGTACAAAAAGAAAATGAGTAAATTATGCGATTGTAAGAGATTTTTTTATTTTAATAAGTAGCTGTAAATAATTTATATTGTAAAAAACAACTTCTTATTATTGTGCATATACTAGAAGAGTTACGCGGAATATTATGTAAATGTGCATGTGTGTGTACGCAATAAATCTGCTCTCCTCAAACGGAGCTTAATGCAGTTCCGTCGTGTTAATGAGAAAATTACATTATAAAGCATTTAAAAAATGACTAATACTGATTGTTATTATGTAAATGTCATCTGTATTCTTTTTTATCGTATCAGTTAATATTGTTGCGTCAAAGATCTTGAGCGTTCTTGCTCTCTTGAATACGTTTCAACTTTTTCATCATTAAATAAATCATCATTTGTTATTCAATGTGTTAAAAAAAAACTAACATTGAATATATAAAATTTATAGCGTACGAAAACCAGTTTGTATTGAAGCTAAGATCGCGGCTGTTTATGTTGACCAATAAATTGTAAATTATTTACATCTGGAGTGAGATCGCGCACGATAATTATACGCGAACATCGTCGTACGGAATTAATTATCAGTCGATCTGATACGGAAAATTCTTTTCTTATTGTCACATTTCGTGATACATTGCGGATCATTACGATATTAAAACGCATCTGTCTAGATATATATTTCTGTATAGCACAATCGCGCGATAATTATACATGATATTTTTTCACAGAAATTGTTTTTACATGCATAATTTAACATGCATATTAACGCGTGCGCGTCATTTATAACAATGTCACAAAAACTTGCTTTTCTCGTTAAAATAATTTCCGCGTTTGCTATTAATAGCAAAATGATTTCTTTCTGCAGTGTATCACAAAAGATGATGAAAGAATTTGTTTTTTCACTCTCAAGTTGTACATATTTTGTCAACACAAACATTTATCATCTGTGCAACTGAACCGTGAAAAATACGCAATAGGAAAACTCGCACAAGAATCAACATGCAGGTTGCGAATTCTACAAAGATTTCTACTCGAGAAAGATTCGCAAAGAAAGTTTTTACAAGCTAAAGAAAGATGGCTTCGTATCTTGTATTCGCGATGTGAGTATATTTTAATGACTTGAATTGAACTCATTTCGTCAAATCATACCGCGATTGAAAACGTTCAGAGAGAAGCTCTTAAGTCAGAGACCATTTCACGAACTTGTATATTTCACTTTGCGAATGCGGAATATCATCTCCGTTGCACACGTGTACACGTGCGCATTGTGTGTCGGACGTTGAAACGATTTCAGGAGTTTCGCGTTCAAGTTACGGAAAGTGTGGCAGTTACACGTAAGACACATCGCCAAAGTTTCGATGCGCTTATCACAGGTCTGCATTAGCTACCCTATAGAGAGAAGTAGCTTTACCTGAGTGCAGTCACTCGAGCTCCAAGGTCTTTGAGCCCATCGTTTTTTTTTTTTTTTTTTTTTTTACACACTGTCTATATTTTCTTCTTTCTGTCTTGATGAGTAAAAAAAGACGAGCCTGTCTGTTCATATATATGTATAATGAGCTTTATGAGGTCGGGCTTTTACTTCTTACCTCTTATATGTCTTCAGCTCTCTTTTTTTGTTCTTGTTAAATTTCCGAACAAAATTACATAGCGTTTTATTTGATGTCTCATTTGGTAAACACATGAATTTTAGATACAAATTAAGTTTGATAACAATTTTTTAATCGGAAGTCTAAAGTACGAATGGAAAATATGTTGGATTTATTTAGGTAATCTTTTAGCTTAGTCTGTAATAATCTTTGGACGTAAACATGTATCGCGAAGTAATTGCGATCGATACAAATATTACATTTAATGTGTCTTGAAAACTAATACGTCAAAATATTTGCAAAACTTGCGACAATGTTATATTATCGTAAAATAAACTGCCTCTCAATTGTGATAAGTGCCGTATAGCGTTTCACGATAATATCTTCCATATGTCTTCCATTCCATGCCGAGGCATGGCACGCAAGCGCTCTTGCGTAAAATTTATTTTCGCCTCCGGAATTCGATATCATCAAATAAATCTCACATGTGTTTTAACAAAATGTTTGACAACAATAATTGTTGTTGAAATCCAATTAATTTAATTCTCGGCTAATAAAGCAAAAATTTTGATTTTTATTATAAACGAGATAAATTTTAAATCAAGGCGTTGATGAAATCATTACATCCGTATGTTTCTTTTCAGGACTGCTGAAGTGCTATTGCGACATTTGTTCGGAAACCAATCACACGTGCGAAACCGATGGCTATTGTTTCGCCAGCACGAGCCTGGAGAGGGAGCCTGACGTCATCACGTATGCTCGGAGGTAATGTATTTGCACGTGTATTTCATTGACGACCACACTCGATTTACACTATACTCGAAGCCTCTTTTAGTGACTTGTTCCTCCCGGTCATCGACATATGTGTCGTCAATCGGGCAACATTTGGATCGAAAACCGGCAATCGTTCGGTTTCCGATAAAAATTTGTAATTCGCTCTCTCTTACCATCTTTATACAATTTTCTTTAATTTATTAAACATTCACCTACGATACCATGATTGGTTAAAAAAAAAAGTGTACATAAATTACTGGATTATTGGACATTTGCAAAATGATTTATGACGCGCGATAGATTAGCAGCAGCGCGAAAATCAAGTCCGTCTCGAGAGGAGGAAGGTTTTACACGGTTACATTGCATCGACATTTCATAATGAATCGGACTCGAGTCATTATGGCGTCTGGTCTGATGTTTGTTAGCGTCCACCGGTCAATGACACTAATGTCAGTGCAGATTTTCTAAGCTCGCGCTGCTGGCGAACCCGGGATCCGGATTCGTTATCGACTTTGCACGCGTTATCTTGCATAAACTTATCGTATGTATATATGACCATGTACACGCGCTGCAACGCTGTTTGCGTAATTAACGCTGACACAAAAATCGCGAAGTGTCGTGTAGTCAAACACGCAATCGTTTCAAGTCAATAAATTTTTTTGCTATCTCGTTGTTTTTTTCATATTGCATTTTATTTAATCTATTGATAAAACAAATTTAATTATTTTACAAAGTGTTCGTATTTTTTTTCTTTTTGAACTGGATCGTTAAATGACATATTATTTTGTTCACAAAAACCTTTTGTTAATATCATATTTGTGAGTTGTCACACATCATGTTTATTGCATTTGTAGCCACTTTATTAACGCATTTTCTGATTCAATAGTTTATGGACTTTCGTGTAAAATAAATCTACAAAACAAAATTAAATAAATAAAATTTCTCTCTGTTCGATCGATCGAAAAGTTTATAGTAGCGTACAACATATGTGACGATATTTCGAAACAATTTTTATCTGACTCTGTCACTCGAGCTTCTTTGCATAATGTTATCACACGTGCATCTATAGCGCGTTTAGCGGTCGTTGTCCGAGAGAAGCGCCGCCGCTCGCAGCCTTCGTATCGGATCATGGCGGTTTCGTTTCGACGTCGCGATCGATGCCCTCATCGTGGTTTCCACGAATGAACGTTTAGCCGCAGGTTTTCCAGGCCGCGCTCTCGTCCGGGCCATGATTAGCGCCCGTTTCGGCGGAAACGAATTATTGTTGGCGGCCGGTCGTCGCGTTGGTAACGCCATACCGAACGCGCACGGCGAGATTTCAAGTTCGACCGTCTCGTGCGAGCCACGAAAATTCCGGCCGCGATCGATTGCGGGAGCGAGAACTCGGCAGGAGGGCAGAGGGTGGGCAAAATTCGGACGTATACCTTCTCTCGACCCCCGCGGAATCGATCTCGAACGCATCGAGGAAGTTTCTCGCGCGTGGGGGTAGCCACATACAAGTTTCAATTCAATCCTAGCGAATGAGGTGACACTTACTGGGGGATAAATTTTTTTTTGAGATGTCACAACATATATAAGACGAGAAAGAATTTTTTATATACGATGTGCTCTCGATTGTTCTAGAATTAGCCAATTTGAATGTCCTGAACGAGGCTTTGTTCGATTGTATAGAGAAAAAACCATATTACTTAATGTAACTTCTAAAAAGTTTGGTATAAAAAACAAGTGTAAAACGTTTGTCACTTAAAAAATACAATTATTCACGTTATCAAAGAATAATAATTTGACTCAGCAAAGCATGAGATTTTATATAAAGAGAAATCTACTGAAGATCGAATCAAAGTAAGTTTTTACATCGCCATCTGACACTGCAGAAACTTGATCTCAAAAATCTAGCAAATGATGCATCACGACACACACTTGTGACAGTGTCGGAAGAGCAAATGTACGTGACATCGAAAGGTCAGAAGTTGAAAAGATAGCGCAGTATAGCGCTTGTAGTACACGTACGTAGCGATCTCGACCTTCGATTTAGTAAAGATCGATATTTCTTTATCTTGAACGATGTCCCGCGATGCTATTATGTCAAAGATCAAGAGAACATTTCTATCGCTGATAATTTTAAATTTATATTACGTAGTTAAGAAATATTTTTATTTATTTTTTATAAATGTTTACATTTTTTAATGAAAATATTTCAAAACTGAATAAAATTTTAATTTTATAATCGTGATATACATTGTATGTATAATTTGTTTTTTTCCGGGAATTAATAAATACTGATTATATTAATTTCAAAAATTCTTGCGTCATTGCTAAACAGTTTTGTTAATTTTTTAATATTTATCATTGCATTCCCGAAAGAGGCCTCAAGACGTAGCCAAAATTGTCGGACTGTCTTTTAATAATTATTTCAACTCTGTAACGATTATCAGACGACCTGATTCGAGAACGGTGCACTCTCTCAAAATCGAACAGGGTCGACCGAGACAGTTCGCGCACCGCAACGATCTGATGTCGCAGACGTGCGGACGGGCCTCTAAATGCTTAATGCACCAGACGGATAATTCGGATAATTCGACCGGAGATCGCATTGAAAATAGCGCGACCGAGATTACTTGATCCGGCCGTGGCGTGGAAGTACAGCACAGAACAGTTTTATATGCGATCACGTGAATGCAAAATATATCGATGCGTCGCGTCGCGAACGTGAATCTGCGTAACATTTTCACATCGGGATTTTACGAAATGTCGATTACGCAAAAATAACAAATCAAAGTCGAAGGTGGTGTCGCTGTTTTTATTTAAATAGATAAATTTGTGATAATCATGAAACTTGTAAATGTAATTAATTATCTATATATATATATATATATATATATATCTATGTGCAAGATAGATAAAGGACATAATCATAATTTTTCGAAAAAAACCAAGTATTTAAAAAATATTTTTTTAAGAGAGAAAGTTTTACCGAACACTTGTACGGTATAGATAACCATATGCATTTCTAAGTAGAGATTTATTCTATAAAGGGAATTTCTATCGCGTGCGATGCGTGTCGTGTTTTTCTGGATTAAACGTAAAATTGTGGATGTTGTGACAGTTGCCTTGACCGAAGCAACTGGCTGCCGCCGGAAGAGCCTCTTTTCTGCAACCGCGGGCCAGACATCTATAACGCGCAGATCTGCTGCGATAAAGACTTCTGCAACCTGAATTTAAACCCAGTTTTGTTAAAACGCTACTCGCCCGCATTATCCTCAGGTATTCTTCCAAGGGCTCGCAACCGACGAGGGCTCGTTTTGTCACATTATTACGTGTGTATAACGTAACCTCCGCCCAAATACATAACACACTCTCTCACACTAACTCCATAGAAGTCGAGTGGATATAGCATGATTTGAAAAATAACAAACAGCAGGAGAAACAGCGTGATTCTCTGAGCAGGTGTGGGATTTTTGCATTTTTGCAAAATTATTACGCTCTTATCCGCAAAAAACCTATAATTGTCGATTTCTTTCGTACATGTAACAAACTCATAAAAATAAACGACGCGATGTAGATCTTTGTGCCACGTATTATTAACACACACTACTTGACATTAAATTTAGCTTTAATTTCAGTTGTTTTATATCACACGTTTTATATCACACGTCTTATAAAACACGTTTCGAAATACAAGCAGAATTTTTACTTCACAGTTTTAGACAAATAATTCGAAATTTGATAAAAATGTTTTTTTTTTTTTCAAGAGATATATGTGCGCTAAATAAAAATGATAATTAGTGAAAATTAAATTTAGTAGTCGTTCTGTTAACAAATTTTTGGCAAAACATCGTCGAATCGCGTTTTAAAACAGTGTGGCTTTTTCGAACGTGTTAATAATACGACACGCAGAGCTCGACACGACTCCGACGTATTTGACGCACGCGCTATAATGCGAATCGACGGAGGCTCGTCTTGCGGAATCAATTACCACGCGATCGGACGTAAATCAACGCTTGCGTCAAGAAAGATATGACGACCGGCCGAGAGTTTTCGTGTCCCTTGCGATTCATGACAATCGAATCGCGCGTCGCTGTGGCTCACCTTGACGCGCGTGTCGCGACGAGGTGCAATTTGCATATGTTGCGAATGAAATTTTACATCACGACGATACATATGTAATACATCTAAACGGTGAACATTAAAAAAACTAGAGCTATAAAATCCGAACATAAAAAAATCTTTTGCTGCGGTGATGTAATCGTTAAAATGTCACACGGGACAAAAATACTAAATAAACAACGTTATTTTGCGCGATGTTTAAAAGACAATAATTTAATTTGTGATTTAATTACTCGATTTAAACGTGTTTATTCGGAAATATTTCTGAGAAATGTTTCATCAGAGATTGACGTTTAACGTTAAAAACATCTGAAAAAACATTAAAAATCTATAAACGACCTGATAAAAACCATGAAATAATTATATTATGTACTTGAAATATATAATTGCAGGTATATACTGAGCTTTTTCGTAGAATAGTCGAGTTTGCGAGATTCCGACTAACACAAATTGCATCCTAAATAATGTCCACCGTTTGTCCCTAACTCACATTTTCTTTGCTGTGCCGAGTTCGGTTTGTTGAGAGAATGTGCGAGGTGTGCCTGCTTTGAGGATCGTTCCCGGCGATCCGGCTCGGAAAATTCGCGTCTCTCCCGACGAACTCTCCGAGAATTGTCCTTTTCGCGAGTTCGTCGGGGTTACTGTAGTAGAACAAGCCCCGATCGATATAGGGAGAGACTCGCATCACGCGAGCCGACGCGGGGCCACAACGTTGTACACATATATGTATATATATAACGTTATATATATATACATATGTATATAATACATATAATCGTACATACCGTTGTTGTACGGCTCCAACGTGTGCCATTCCGACAGAATCGCAGAATTTCAGGAATCACCGAGATATGCGCTACCAACTACTACTGGCTACCCCCACATGTCAGGTATCACGAGAGTGTGTTGAGTTGCACGGTGTTGCGGATTTCTCTTGTTCCTCCTTCTCGACTATCAGCTCTCCCGCATTCTCTCCCCCGAGTTGATTTTTTTTCTCCTTTTTTTATTTTTTCAATTTTCAGTATTTCTCTTTCGGGTTTTTTTGCTGGAGTTTTGCTCGGTTGATACTGTTGTTTTCTCGACAGCATCCACGTGGATTGTGATGCCGAAATAACCCAACGGGAGCGACACGTGCACGTATTTCGTGTGAAACGTTGCCGCTATCGTTGACTAATCGGACGTGTGTGTGTGTGCGATGTTTAGTTAAATTCTCAAACGTTGCGTTCAGTTTGTTTTGTTCAACGGGATTGTATATCTTTTATCTTGTTCGATGGAAATTGAATGTCGACGTTTACACGGATTCACGACGGTTAAAATTAATTATCTTGGAACGCGAAAAAGTAAATACCGTAAGCAAGTAACTGAGATGGAGTGAATATTTGTGGGCAAATTTATCGATATATTATTGACTAAATTAAACCAATTGGATGAAGAGACCATTGCGGGAAGTCTCGATACATTTTTGGTAGCACGAGAAAATAATGAAATGTTTAAATCTGCTTTTTTTCACATTAATTGTAGTTAATATTTAAAATATCGCCGACTTATTTTTTATATATGTAAACATGTCAGAGATTATAACCGGACAACTTACGAACGTTTACTTGTTTAATGGAGTAACACTTGAATCATATCAAATGGCATAGTAGATAATCGGCGATATCGACAAACGGAGACGCTGACTCGGAACGCAGCCGTAGTAGCGCGCTAATCTCTTTTTGTCGTGCTACCAAGACGATCGGATTCCCGTTCGCGTTGGTTTTTACCTCGAAACCGCACGAAACACGTTTTCCCCTTGATATATATCTCGTACCCACGTCGAGACGCGAACGTGCAAGTTCTCCGTTTCGTCTCGTTTTCTGAAACTGGTGCAAAATCGACTTGAAGGTGCGTGCCTAAACATCTGCCGCCGTCGCAGCCCGAGCCGCTCATCTTCTGCATGACGAGCGTCTCGCGAAACACGTCCTTCGTCATCGAGTGCTGTAAAGTGGATTTTTGCAATCGGGATCTGAAACCCCAGCTGCACCCTCGCAACAAAGAAGGTACAGTCCAAATAAAACCTGGAAGTTACGAAAACTCTGCAGGTGGCACAAGCTTATGCTGCAATTTTCCTTTTTTTTTTTTTTCGTCTTTTCACCTCTCTTTCTCTCACTATGGCTTTGTTATCTCTGCGCGAGCTGTACGTGCAATTCTTTTACTTTGTCTTTCCGTTTCAAAATTTTTTTATAGCCGGTTCTTATCCTGCGTCGAACAGTGCAACGAATCGAGAGCCATTGCTGGAGAAAGTGATGTTGTAACTAAACAGTTTACATAATTGCACTTCATTATTCTTGTATTTGATTGTTATTACATTAATGTTCATTTTAAATAAATTTCTAAAATTGCACTAACAACGAAATTAATCAGAAACACGAAATTCAGAAGACAAGAAAAGAACGAAGAAAATTATGAAGAACTTTTTTTTTTATCAGTATTAAATAAAGACAAGTTAGTGTGATATTTTGTAGCATTTTTATGAAAAGAGAAAGAAGCATTAGAACAGCAAGAGAACTCGTGCGCGAATTAAAACCGTTTCGAGCGTCTGATAAAGTGGAAATGGTTTAAGCACCGGTTAGAGCGTTTTCATGTAGTCGCAGAATTAGCCGAGTGTCGTCGGCTATTTTTTATGGTCAGAATAATGCGTTACGTCATGGTCTCCGGCAATGTACACGCCTTCATCTTGCTCGCACTATACTATCTTGAACTCGCTCTGATATTCGCTATCTGTCGTGTTTCTCGCCGTTATTTATGTGTACCTCTGCGTATATAAATGTGTCAAAATTATTTAATGATACTTTGGAAGTAAATTTATATTACGATCTACTGTGAGTTTTTTTCTGATTTAAATAAAAATTTTTAATTTTAAATAAAAATGTTTACTTGGTCGATTGTGTTATAATTTCAATTATTTACGATTTAAAAAATATTCAAGTAGCGATTAGTTTTTGCTAAACAAAAAGAAAATTTATCTGAAAAAAGGACATATTTCTCTGGATCGATCAATTGGAAATATTTTTTTAGAAATGTTTTGTTTTTCTAAAATGTTGTCCAATGATTTTGGCACACCGAATAGATTTCTCTATCCGTTACGTGCACTATATATACTGTGCAGTAGAAAGCTTCCGCGACGCTACAGCACGCTATACATGCGATGTATAAACACGCGATACATTACTTGCGCATATGCGAATGCGCTCTCTCGTTCATCGCAAAGCGCAACGTGCTGAACTATTTTACATCGCGGCTTGTTGAACCGTTATTAATTATTAGAATTATGCGTGTAATTACAACAAGCCATAGTGAGATACAGAGAATTGAATACAACTAAATAGTATCATAGTATATATATTTTATTACCCAAATTATATTATCTTAATTTCATAGTTTGTTAGTAGATTAGTTCTAGTAAATTAGTTCTGTAGTTTATCAGAGCTGTACATAGTTTCAGGATATTTTATGGCACGTATTATTAAATTTTACGTACAAGCGTGTAATATCTCTGTTTGATTTTCCTCGTCTTTCCCGAGCAGCATCATATTCAGAATATATTTACATAAAATGAGAAATATCACAACGTATTAATTTTTCTAACGAAATAATTTCCGATCTCAAAATTAGATTATCGAAATATTAAAATTGAAGATAAATGGAACTTAAACGCGAACTATTGAACTTCGATAGATTGGAGATTTATATAAAATACAAACGCGCGCGTACAATGTTTGGAAAATGATCGAAAATATGTTTTGCCACCTACGGAGCTTGTAGTTTCCTCAAGGCAATCTTCTTCTGTATTTTCTTACTTACCACAGCCCATCGTACGCCGGAAGTCCTTCTGAGTGAACTCGGAAAGAACCGGTAGCATGTTGCCACAGCTCTCTCTCCTTTTCTGCACTCTTTAACGATCAGTAGTAAGTCTCGTAGCAAGTCCGACACGCGTTGATCCACGAGAAAGGGTGGCTTTTGTAAATACTTCTTTCTCTGTCTCCTCGCCCTTTCTCATCCCGTAGAAAAAAAAGTAACCCTCAGACTCTCTGCGAAAAAAACACTCTCTGCAGTTCTTTGTATTAACTTTTTTTCACAACAAACAGTACAAACTTGACACGACTTTGTTATTATTAGTGTCGAGGAACGAAAGAGAAAAGTGACACGAGTTCTTGAGGAAACAAACACTGCGACTTGTGCCAGATCGAGATCGATGTTTTTATTGAAATTATTGTGTTATTGAGATTTATTTTTCGCAATTCTCATGTCGAGTTTCCTGCAGTAATTTCCTCGCAGTGTAAATACAAGACTCTTTATTAGGGAATCTTCTTGAGAGATTGTGGGAGTTAAATAGAATTGAAATACTATTGTCTCTTCTCTCTTCCGCGCGCATGTGCCTTCTGACTTTGTGTAACTATCTTTGTATAACTATTGTATCTCTGCCGTTTAAATATTTTTCTATGCAACACTTGAAGTGCATACTAAAATATATATCTTGTTGTTTACGTAAATAGTACAAAATCTCTTTTCTCGTCAATGTTTATTATGAAACCCGATTATTGTTCAGAGTGCGTGTCGCAAGATTTGCATCTGATCTATTCGACATATTGTCGATAAAAAGTTTATTTTTGTCGGATATGTTTCGCACTTACAAGAGATATGGAAACCTGATGCGAATCTTACGATATGCGATATCTTACGTTTCTTCTACGTATGTGTTTAAGAAATATGTGAGTGAATTTTATAATATATTTTATTTTTAAATATACACATTTTTTAATAACAACGCATTTTTATTGTAAAACTACAAGCTTGTTTACAGCTCAGCTGTTATTGTTATTTCCACAATATTTTGACACATGTTTTCTTAGACATGCGTAGACATTTCTGTTATAAACTTCATTGACAGCTTTGATAGCTAACTTCTGAATAAGAATCTTTTTTCTCAAAATCATTGTCATTTCTGTTGTATCGTTTTATCTCTTATTACTATCCATTACACTAAAATCATATCTGCGTAAAGAAATCAAAACCAGAAAAAAAATTTGATGATACATTTTTGTATGGAAATTAATAATTTGCATGTTATGTCATCTTCACCGTTCACGAATAGCGAAGAATGCTTCCATCATTTTTTGGCAACGTGAGTGCCGAACACGCAATTTGATTCCTTTTTCGCGACAGTACTCGTGATACAAATTATTTTCCTAGGTGTTACGATAAGATGAGGTTCTTCCCGGACACCGAACGGTCTGTCTGGTGTGACAAGAAAAATATACTAAGCGGCCCAGATGGCATCAAATTCGCAGTCGCCTGTTGCGATCATGCCGACTACTGCAATCGCGATCTAAGGCCCTCTTTTCGCTTCGCGAATCACCTCGAAGGAGGTACAATAAATCGGCAATCCAAAGCGATTGCCGCGTGAGATTTCTCGCCTCCAAGGTTGCGCCGTTCGCGAGGTTCGTTTTCTTTCCGCTTAAATGAGATTCTCGTTAAAACGAGCACTGATCAATAAACGTGAAGGACTCAATGGCGGGAACGCACACTTATTTACATTTCTACGCCATAAAATCGCGATTTATTATCCAAATTTGTGGCTTTATTTATCTGAAATTTTTTTCAACGTCCACTTATACAAAATATATGTCTTTTTTGGATATTATAAAAATATGATTGATAAACATTAATTACATTCCAATTGTTAATATTTTTGCGATACGCAGATTTTCTATAATAATAATTTGCACAATGTATTTTGTAACATGGATGATATTCATCAAGATACAGAGAGAGACAGATGTCTAGTCAGATGCATTTCCTGCCTTGTCTGCTCTGAATGGATCAGCCGTCCGTGATGTGATGCCAGCGATAGCTTTTGCCTCTACAATCGCTGAGTTGCAACGAGATGATTTATACAGATAACTAACGGCCACGACATGTAATGCCGCGAGATATCCGCATACAAAAACAAATTGATTAAATAATTTATTGTATATCGAGAATCGAATATATAAGGATGAATATCGTTTGTTTTTGTCAAAAACATCGATGTAAATAAACAAAAAAAGATTAATCTAAAATCTAAAAAAAAAAACGACTAAAAAAGTTTATTGCAATATTTTAGTGAGAGATATATAAAATTTTTTTAGTAGTCGACTGCTTGCAGGTTTTAAATCTATTTCTTTGTTTCACGGCGATTTGGTAACTTCGAACGTGTTACTGCATCAACAACTTACGTAACAACTTGTGTATTAAAAAGTCTCTCGATTTATTCTCTCAGCGATACAACGAGGAAAGAGCTTCGAATTCTTGGAAAACAAGGAAGAAGCATAAAAATTCAAATCAAGCCATTGAATCCTGACTGGCAAAACTTTTTTGAGATTCTAATTGCATTTAAATAGCGCGCTCGAAAGTCGAACAGTGGCGAACTTATATTTCTTATTTTTCTTGTTTGTGTTCTTTTTTTTACACAGTCTACAGAAAAAAATTATTTACACACGAAGAAGTTATTTTTATACGAGTTGAATAATTATTTGATCAAATAATCGAATAAGTGTTTTATCTTAATTCGTTCTAATTTATACTTTTCGCGAAAACGATTAAATCCGATTATTGTTCGAATTGCGCTTCGAATTTTGTGTTTTGCGGATCGGCGGGAAAAGGAACTTCCGAAGCGGCGAGACTTTGCCGAGGCAATATGCGTACGACAGTGATGAGAAAAGCGGGGGTATCGATTATCGATTTTCTACGCTTTTGTGAATTGTCTGGGCGCGCACTTTTCACACTTCTCTCTCTCCTCCGTATTTCTCCCGTGTTTCCCATTCTCATACCATTTATCTTGCTTGTGCCGAGCTGACAAGACAAGGAACGGACAGAACGCCCGCCATCGATCGGCGATTCTCTTCATTGCATTTATCGTGTTTTTCCGCTGCAGGTAGATCCTATCTTGTTACAAGATAGAATTGGACACACACTTTGTTACTGAGAATGGCGTTGCCGTTTCGTTGCATAATGCGAGATATATTCGAATTACACAATGTGTTATCTTCAGCGAGTTAAAGAGATTATACAAGTATACATATACCTATATATAGAACATGGTAAGATCCGGGTTATTTCATTTATCGTACTTTGAACTGTTGTTGTGGTGTCAATTATGAAATAATAATATCACACACATAAGAAAACTAAAATCACTTAGAATCAGAATTTACTTATTTAATTAATATTGAAGTATATTTCTTGATATTACAATTAAAATTATCCCTGAAAGTAGAACCTTAATTTTTAAAAGTTGTTTTTTATCAGAAATTTTAAATTACGGTGTCACTGAATCGCGCGCTCATATATCGCGCTCATCTCCAGTTCATGATGAAGAGAGGAAGTAGATAACATATTCTGTGTACGTTACTGATAAGATAACATCCGGGTCATATACCGGTGAATTTTGCAACCCTCTGAGAAAATCTGACAAAACAATAAAAAAACTCGAGATTACTTCTCTCGTGATTCACACATGTTATCATTTTGTATGTACAACTGGTTCTAAGTGTATGCGCGTTAATCTTAATTGATTTCTTGGAAAAACAGATTTTTAAGGATTTCTGAAAACTGTAATTGCAAAACAAAATGATATCAGTACTTTGTGTATATGTTGCTAATGTTGTTTAATATTTTTTCTATTTACGATTTATGATGCACTGCTGATACATGTGACCTTATGCGACATGTAAATCAGAAATCCGTGATTTTATTTTCACGTTTATTTGAATGCACAAATAGCAAGTCACCAATCACAAAGACATCTGTGCTTTTGCTAAATTACATCTTTGTTTGTAATAAGCATGTACAAAGAAAACAAGCTGTAATCTCTTCAATTTTAGAGAAATATTTAATGGAAAGATATAACGTATAAGGTTTCCATCATTTTTTTTTACTTTGTAGAGCTTTTGAGCGTTTTAGTTTTCAAATCCGAATTAAATAGAATTAAATTAAAAAAAGTCAAACTTACAAAACTATTTAAAAACTAATTTTTCCAAGAAATTAATTATAATGATAATTAAATGAAATCCGAATTAACATTAGACAAATCAATAATTCGAGGATATACTTTCTTTAATTTTTTTTACTTTTTTTTTGTATACTTTTCTGTACTAGATTCATAAATTTTTTAACTACAAGAGCAGTTTAGCGTAAGCGTGAAAATCCATAAAGAACATATCGTTGATATCCACAGACGAGCGGATTTTGAGCGCAAACACAAGCGAACGGTGGGCGGGAGGGAGGGAGGGTGCAATTTGCCAGCGCGAATGGAATGGTCCGGTCGGGAATATAAAGTAACGAGGCGTGCAGAAAGCGATTTGGATGCGAAGGGATGATGGGACAGGTTGGGAGCGATATTCATCGATTATACGTGCTCCAATAAATCCGCGAGAACAGCCAGTTATCGGCGGGTGCTCTCGCGGCAGCGATTCGATATTGGCATGAGACGCGCGTTATGCGCTCGCTTTATGGAATTCGAACGTTCACGTGTGGCGATTTAATCAGCTCCGATGAGGATTTATTGACAATACGAGGATAATACTTTCGCATTAAACCATTAGTTACAACGTTGTCAATATTGAAACATATCGCGCTATCAATTGCGCGGAAATCTCGTGATTGTTTTTTTTTTTTTTTTGTTTTTTTTCAACCAAGCTGAGTAAAGATTCTAAGAAAATTGTAAAACGATTAAAAAATATACTTCTCCTCGTATTTTCAAGTGTCTACTAAAATATATGTTTCTGTACTTAAAGATCTCTCGATGTTATTATCGTTATTAACGCTTCTACGAGCTGCGTCAAACGCACGCAAAAACTTGCCAGCATTTTATGCGACGAAACCGACAACTGACAAAATTAATTATTATTTTATCGACGTTATTCTACGAACGGGGTTCTTTAATAATGTCAGCGAGGTGCAGATCTCGTGTTATCTTCTCATTTGCTGTTGGGAAACTCTCATCGTTGTACATGCGATCATCCATCAGTGAATTGTTTCTCGCCATGTTGCCTGTCACTTCATTGAAATCTTCACAGGGATCAATATCCAATTATATTGTGATTCGTTTTACCTACATCTGTGTACGTACCTGGTTCGCAATAACCCCGTCGATTAAATTTCGCGGCTGTTTGATTCCACGATGAACCATAGTTGTTTGCTTTGGTACATTCGAATTTTATCACTTTCAGCTCTCTTATGCCGCTACATATCTCGATATGTTCATACCTGTTGGGAATTCCAATTTGAAAATTTTTTCGATCCAGCAGTTTTATTAGAAACAGAGTAGTTTGTGTTGCATGCGGTTTCTCGCATGTATTATGTTTGATTTTTCATAATTGGTCTGATGAAAACTAAACACATATAACTCTTATCAAATTTAGTTTTTGGCAAAAATTAATTATTTAGAAATTATTGTGTTGGTCATAATTTTTTTTATCTCACTGTATCAAATAATTTTATAGCAAAACTTTTCTTTTTTATTGTTTTATTACGAAACATCTTGTATAGATTTTTTAAATCTTCTTTACCGTTTATTAATGCTTTCGAAATTTTATAGAACTGTCTTTTGCGAATTGTTTCATTGTAAGAATTGAAACAAATAATGAACTCGAACAGTTGTTTGTTCGACATTTCACGTCGTTTGAGTGGCAAACTGTAAACATCGCTAACACCATCTTTACTTAACGTTTCCGTGATTTTTGACCGATTAACAGTATCTGTCTCGGAACACAATACGCCTCTTCGACGTTGCGACTCACAGGTAAGTCCAATTATGTGCTTAAGGTGCTGTCTCTAAGACCGCGTTGGAGAAACTGTCTGTAATGCGATCTACCACGACGTAAACTTTAGTTCAGGTAGAACAAAGGATTATTTCAGGTTTAACACTACAGAACACCCCCATGGTCGGGCTTCAATATGGAGAAAACATGTGATTAAATTATACAAAAACTGACAGTCTGACAATTTTTTGTTTACAATTTGCAAATTTATGCAATTTGTTACACGACAAAATCAGGTTCGAATAGATCTAATATCAAATTCAACATCAAAATCGACTGACTGCGACAATGACAAATAGCATTTAACAATTGAAATGACATTAATTGATCGAAACGCAGTGATAGTACGTTAATGCATTAACAACTTCTCAAAGATGTATTCTTAGAAGATTTTCTTTCAGGTGTGACAACGATAAGACTAATAGATCAAGACAATCGGAATGTGATCTCGGCATAAGAAAAAAATCAATCATCTGAAGAATTTGTGACATATAAAGTGTCTTTTGCTGCACACATATATTTGCTCAATTAATTGTAACATTGCACGAGATTGCTTTGTATGTTCTTCTTCACTCTTACCTACATTTGATGTTGCATGTCTTTCACGTTTCCGCTTTTCGCTTGACGCCTACGTGTCTTCTCTTTCGAAGATCTGCTCGCTCGCTTTCAAATCGTCACAATGCAACACTGATTTCGATCGGCTCGTGTACGCGCTCTCGAACATTCTCGTTTTCCAAATCCATATGTGCCAAAAACAAGATATATTTAATATCTCTCTTCACACACGCAAATATATATGTCGATAATATTTACAAAATTGTTTAACAAAAATTGCGAAAAATAAATATCGCTATCGTACGTAATCGAACAAAAAAGTATAGTATTTACACAACGTAAAGATAGAACCTAAGATCAATGAAGTCAACATGAAGTTTCGGCTTTTTGCCTTCTGGTTGCGCAATAGAGCTATATTTAAGACAATCTTTTTGCGTCCGTAAACCTTGAGACAATACGTGGCGCGCATCCGGGAGTAACGATAACGTACATGCGCGCCGCGGGTTGAATATACCTCCTGGCATAATGATGCGAGGAGCGCGGTGTCGCGTCGCGTCGAGTCATGATGCATCACGATCGAAATGAGTATCTCTTCTTGTCGATGCTTTTTATATGGGCATGTAGGAACCGTCGATGATGTGCATAATAATCTTGAATTTCATGTCAAAAAGTGTCGTCGGGCGGTGACGACGCGACGTGGGTCACATGGAAAATGGCCTTGACTATAGCACTGCCAATATGCGCGATCTGCGTTGTCGTTATGGTCTTCTATCACGTGCACATGACCAAAAAGAGGCCGGCCCGACATTTTCCGGACGACTCGCTAGAGGCTCCGGATCGGCCGATTTTGGGCGGCGTTACTATCAGGGACATGCTGGAGATGACTACAAGCGGCAGTGGCTCGGGTAGGTCAAACTAAATTAAAGTTGGTCATCTCAAAGCAGCCGTAAGATAAGATTTATGAAGGTAGTTTTTTATCCTTATTCTCAAGAAATTGTATTTTACATATTTATAACTGAAATAATGATAAAAAACATACAAATTCACAGTAGAATACTATTAAACCTTATCGAAAGAATCAAAAAAATTGCAAAGTGATTTTCTATTTTACTGTAATCTCTTTGATTTATTTCACTGTTGCGCACACGAGTTAAAATTGTGTCCTATATATTCATTTTATAATAGAAGCAAGTTAAAAACTACAGACGCATTTTTTTAAATACATTCACACTTGTCTCGTAACTTAATCTGAAATATGTAATAGATTCACGTGCGTGAATCATCGTCATATTAAAATTTATGAACAATTGTATAGTTTGCGAAAAATTCACATCTATAAAGCATCATATATCTGACGCTCACTAATAGATTTTTTGCGAGTTGCTATATTATCATCAATATGTGTGTTCGCATGTACGCATGTTTAACTTGGTCAGATATGCTCCACTAACATGACGCGTGAGTCATCTTCAATCATACTGAAATTTACGTTCTCCAATGCCCATTCTCTCTCAAGTAGGCCTGCCACTTCTGGTACAACGTAGCATAGCGCGTCAGATCCAGCTTGTGGAGACGATCGGGAAAGGTCGCTTCGGCGAGGTTTGGCGGGGTCGTTGGCGCGGCGAGAATGTCGCTGTGAAAATCTTCAGCTCGCGAGAGGAGAGGTCCTGGTTTCGGGAAGCAGAGATCTATCAGACAGTGATGCTCAGGCACGACAACATCCTGGGTTTTATTGCTGCTGATAATAAGGGTATGTTGTAATGTTTATTTACGTATATATAAATGTAAATCTGACAAAAAACAAACAAAAAAACAATCGAGAAAAAGAAGAAGAAATATTTAAAGATTGGGATCTTCTTTTAAAACTTAAAATAACTTGTATCACTTGCATGGAAAAAAAGAAAACAGAGAGTCTAATTTTGACGTATTTATACACATACAATTCGTCAAAAACGTAGAAGAAAAAGCAATATAAAAATACAATATTCAACTGAAAACACTTTATCTTTGGGAATATCTTGCAAGGGCAGACGTCGTGTAATCCGCTCGGATTACATGAAATATTGAAACGCCCTCCATCGATTTCCGCTATACATATTTTATCATCTTGCTTTATGAGTGCCGCTACAATCGGACTCGAGTCTTCGGGAATAAATCGCGGATTGATCAATTTGCTTCGTCTCAGATAACGGCACATGGACGCAGCTGTGGCTGATAACGGATTACCACGAGAAGGGCTCGCTCTTCGATTACCTCAACAGATCGACCGTCGACACGAACGGTATGATAAGGATGGCCTTGTCGATCGCCACTGGCTTGGCGCATCTTCACATGGAAATAGTCGGCACGCAAGGCAAGCCGGCCATCGCTCACCGGGACCTGAAGTCAAAAAATATTCTCGTAAAGACTAATGGTACCTGCGCCATCGGCGACCTCGGATTGGCCGTCAGGCACGACGTAATCACGGATACTGTCGATATCCAGCTTAACAACAGAGTCGGCACGAAACGTTACATGGCGCCCGAGGTAATCATTGCCGTGTGAAACATTTTTTGCTATCGAACATATAGAAAGAGATCTACGCTTATTCTATTTTCTCAGAACAATTAAACAACAATTAAAATATTAATTACAACTGTATTCATAAATATTAATTTTAATCTTGATAAGCTTAATAAGAAATGACATATGGTAATGGTAATTGCGTATAATTAGCCGGACAGTTCTATCTATTTATCTATCTAGTTGGACAGTTTTTATCGATAGAAAAAAAACTGAAAAATTAAAGAGAAGATAGAAATATAACACGTAAATTAAAAAAAAATATGTATAATCTCGAAAAAAATTAATATCAAGAAGATACTTGCGAGATTCTGCAGTCAAGAAGGCGGCTCTTGCGGTCAAGAAGGCGGCTCTTCAGCAATTCGTACTTTCTGCTTTCAGGTTCTTGAAGAGACGATAAACATGAACCACTTCGACTCGTTCAAGAGGGCCGACGTGTACGCGCTCGGTTTGATTCTCTGGGAGATCGCTAGGCGATGCAACGTCGGCGGGATTCACGACGAGTATCAACTGCCCTTTTACGACTTGGTGCCTTCCGATCCAACTATCGAAGAAATGCGGAAAGTCGTCTGCAGCGACCGACAGCGGCCGTCGATACCGAATCGATGGCAGTCGATCGAAGTGTGTATCGAAGAGATAAAGATCATGTTTGTGATAAAATTTAATGAATCGTTAATAATATATCTCTTATGATTTAGGCTTTGCAGGTGATGTCGAAGGTAATGAAGGAATGTTGGTACCACAACGCCGCTGCCAGGTTAACCGCACTCAGGATTAAGAAATCGCTCGCTAATTACGGCGCTATGGAAGACCTGAAGTAGGTTTAAGTTTTCGTCGGGTTTTTTGAAGAAGAAGAAGAAGAAGAAGAAGAAGAAGAGCGATATTGGATGTACGTGCGGATGTTGCAACTAAGAAATTCAAAGCGATAGAGCTTCCGGTATAGTATAACTCTTGCAGATATTCTTCAAGAACTATTCCGAGGAATCGCGAGTAGTCTGAGGAAGACCGGCCGGAAGATATGGGATTTCTTCATGCGAAACTGGTCTCGACTGCCGAGCAGTTGAGTACTGCACAAGTATGATTGATATTGCTGTGCAAGTCGTGTGCAGAGAAGTAGAACGGATGTTGCAAAGCTCGCTGAGAGAGTTAGTCGATTCGGACGATCGATAACGGTTGCGAATGATAAGAAGACAGAAGATTGCTTTAAGTCCCGATTCTGATATAATTATCGCTGTTTGATAATCGGTTATTCGTGCGAACGGATCGATGGGAAGTCGCGCAATATGTGTTCGGTTAATTGAACGTTCACACTCGCGTCACATTTACACGCGCAGATACACAAACTCTTTCTCTTTCTCTTTCTCTCTCCCTCTCTCTCCGCTGTATATTTATTACGATAACGCTAAGATAATAAAGAATATACAAAAATTTATTATATATAACGTTTATATATATTATGATACTAATGAGGATAAAAAACAATACACACACATTTGTATATTAATATATATAACACACACAAATAATTATGTATTATAAATATCCGTTATTCGATTTGATTAACCGAACCGAATTGACATTCGCTGTTTCGGGCGAACAAGTTACCTCAGCGAGACGATCGAATGCGTTCGCACGGATGCGCCGCAAACAAAATTGGGACATTGCGCGACATGTAAACGTATCAGCTTAGCTCCAATTGGACGTGTCGGCAGATCATGAGAAATGCCTCCTAAGAGATAACATTTTTCTATGTTGAGTCTGAAGATAATATGGAATTTATTTATGCGCGCCCGAAGGGATTGAGTTCATGTTGGGAGCATATCTTCTCTCCCCGTGTTACAAGAGAAATGCATATCTTTTGGTTTCCCTTCCTCTCGAAGAAAAAAACAAAAATGCCAAGTTTGCGGGTTGAAGTGATTACACAGGGTAGATAAAAAAACCGAACAATCGGCTGAGTAACGGGGATTCGACGAATTCGAAGAAATTGAAAAACTTGAAGTTTGTCGATAAAAGTCAGGACTTCAGGGTGAGAATCACAATGACCATGTTCAGCAGACTGAGCAGATCAGTGAGCACTTAGTGATTCTTCAATATGATTGGTTTCTACATTTAAATCCAGCGAAGATCTAAAGGCAAGATTCAATCATATTTAAGAATCACTAAGCGATCACTGATCTGCTCAGTCTGCTGAACGTGGCCAATGTTAACCTTCACAATGCGCTAAATATCGTGCAAGATTTGTGGCTCATTGTTCGGTTTTATTTGTCGACTCTATATGTATACTCTTAGTGTAGTAGACACATCCGAATGTTTTGCTCAAAGTGAGTATTTTTGTGTAATAATGCGCACGGTGAGACTTTCGAAACGTGTTTTCTTTGTAACGCAGGAAGGCTGAAATTGAAAGATGTTGAGCTCAAAAAATACGCGTGTATCGTGGCGTGAAAGAAGCGGGAATGTATGAGAAACGTGCGAGAATGTGGTAGGAACTGGACTAGGACTGATACGGGAAAAAAAGGAGAAAGAACAAATTCGATACAAAGAAAAAATTACGTGAGAGTAATATATTTTTTCGTGGAGTTTTTGCGCGTGGAAGAAAGTAAGGTTATGAAGTACAGCGAAAATGATGGGCTAATGTCCGATTTCTTCATCTCTGGCAAGGTCTCGATAACTATATCTAAAAGATAAAGTATATCTTTTTGTATATCTTTATCTAGAGGTTAGCTATCGAAAGGTATGAAGAAATCGGGCCTAAGTGGATACGCCAGACGAGCGGATGTAGTTAGGTAAGAAGGAACCAACTAGTACAACAAATATAGTCGCGAACATATTTGAAATAACTTTACGATCTCACAGTTTATATTGCTACATCACTTTTAATGATACAAGTTTTTAAACATCTTCTATCTAATAAATATCTTATCTAATAAATCGTAAATATATACGTTAGACTTACAAATAAAATTCATTCTTATTTTTTAAATCTTAATAATTCTGATCATGTAGAATGTTTTCAAATTTTTGAGAAGGATATATACACACATGGTAGCTTTGTATAACAAAGTTAAATATTCATCTATATATCCAATTCCTTTACCTCTGATAAGTTCTCGATAACTTTATCTAAAATATAAAGTATATCTTTTTGTATATCTTTATTCAGAAGATAGCTATCGAAAAATGTGAAAAAAAAATCGGGCCCTAGAAATATTTTACTATGAGGTAACGTTAATTTGAAGTTGGTTTCTTTTGCCATAACCACGTCCAAGTAGTTCGTAGATCATTTCTATCAAATCTGTCAGATGCGTGCTGGTGACGCTGGCAGCGCTTACAAATTTGCCAAAAATTATTTGTTTTATAAATTTCGTTAGATTTTGAAAGAGTTTTATAAATTTTTTATGACTATTTGTGCAATACGTCTGCGCGCTGTATTTCAGTGAGTTGAAAAGCAATTTGTAGTGCTCGAGATAGGTACGTAAGTTGGTATACCGCGAGATTGAGAATGTGACGAGTATGCGTATGGGATGTGTCTCTCTCTGCGAAACATAATTGCAGTTATCGACGAGAAAAATGGGAGAGAATGTTTCCTTGTCTGTTTATTCGTGAATAACGGAACGGATTCTCTTCCCGTAGATAACTGATTACATCGGTAATAGTGTTTAGTATATATTTCCTCTTTTTGACGAAGCGAAGAGGAGGAATACGAAAAGCGATTTATTCGGAGTGAAAGATAGTAAACGTAAGCAGAAAAACGCGTGAAGCAGAATTTAGAAAGAAAACCACAGAAAGATAAGAATCTTCGTCATCCAATAGTCAACGTAAAAGTCTGCGAGGTAACAATTATTATTATATCATAGACGAAAGAACGGAGGATCCGAACACATAATCGTATTTTTGTATTGTTTTTTACCGATGACGTCGAACGAACGTCATACTGATTTTCCTCTTCCGTTTTTACACGCTCATGACGTTCCGATCCAGTTGCATAGTTGTTTTTAGTTGTTCGTATCAAATCATTGCAAATAATTCTTAATTTGCGCAATATTAAAGTAAATCGTTATTTTGATAAATAATTGTTTTCAAATTCTGCAATATTAACACATTAGGATTATTAATAATTTATTGTTTATACTATTTTTAACAGAATAGCAAAAGATATAGTTTTAAAGATTGTTATATTTTAACGGAGAAAACAATTGTGTGTGATATAAAAGATTTGATTTCTCTCATCTTTTATTAATTTATGTTTGTTGAATATTTTATATTTACATTTTCTGGCGATCAGCAACTGTAATTGTGCAAATCAAGAATAATTTGCAACAACGCGATAGAAATGCAAATACGATATAGAGAGACAAAGATGTCTCTAAAAATCAACTGGTCCATTATCGTTTGAGAAAATCATCAAAACTCGTTCCCATTTTACTGACGGTCAAGACGAGACAGCAATGAATCGTGCGATTTGATTGCATTAGAGTGACGTTACACGATTCGTCGCAGTTCGCAATTCACCGAAAGACTGAGAATCTAATGTTCGACTAGTAGATAATGAGTAATTAAGGTTGAAGTCAGAGACATTCACTTACCCTTACTCCTTAAAGTTAGCTATAAGACTAACACTTACACTAGAGTTTGATTTTAACTTAAAATTGATTTTCTTCCAATTAATTTTGATTGACAAAACCGCGCTACTAAAAATTGGAATAAATATTTTTTTTGGAATTGTTATCGGAAATTATCATTTTTCTATTATTATTTTATTGATTTTTCGATAATCGTCTTTATTTGGTTTATTTACGTGTCTTATTCTCACTGAATTTTATTTTATATTCATTTTTCGAATCGATCGATGGATGAAATTTGTTTCTCATTTCCAGTGAAATAAAAGCACGAGACTGAATTGTCTTAACGATATTTAGGTATCTCTACTTTTTCTCTAACTTTCTTTTTAGGATAAGTATACAGTTTTGAATAAGAATTTTATTGTTGAGAAATTTTTTAACTCGGATTTTTATATAGACTTAATGAACAGAGGTTTGGGAATGTGTGTTGATTCGACTATAACCGGAAACAATAGTTGCTGGCAACATTATGTACTCGTGCGTATCTTAACGAGCGATCCGCTCCAAAGACGGAGTCTTTTGTTCGCTACCATACATTCCTGTTACACAACATGTAGGTTAATTTATCATACGTAACTAACGATAGTCCGTGCATCAGTTTGGCTTCGCGGTGACGATTTTATATTGCGCCGGATAGTGCGCAAATCCGTCAGTGTCGTAAGTGCGCGACTGATGCTTTCCCTGCAACTGTTTCCATACTGCTAGTACAACTCCCTGTGCCAATATTCGACCGAATGTTAACTAAAGCGCGAGAGAGACAGATAATAAGTAATATACAATATATTTCCACAATATGCACTCGCGCTCGCGCGAATGAGGAAAAATATCTCCAGCATGAATTTTTCTATGCATCACGCAAGTGTTTCATAAATACTAATATTTGTTGCAGAATTAGAAGACTGAATATAAAAAAAAACCAGTAGATTAAAGAAAACACATTAGATTACTTAATTCTTAAGCAAGAAGAATTTTTAACTGAAATAAATTAATTTTATTATACTTTTGTTTAACAGAGGGCAATCTTCTAAACTATATACATATAATATTTATCTGACAGAATATAAAGATGAAATGCGGAAATATAAAAAGATATTTTTCCTCTTTACAACACATTTGTATCCGCCGTCAGTTTTAATGAGAGTCACAGAAATATTTTGTCTGTCATTTGTTGACTTCAAACAATTGATATTTTTTTTTTTTACATTAGAGTACGCTAAAAATATCTACTTTAAATATATTTAAAAAAAATGTTAATTGTTTTTGAAGTTGACAATTGAGAAGATGCGAATGTTTTTGTGACCTATCTGTATATTTCCGGGCGACGATATCAACGTCACTCTTGAGCTTGTCTTGCCGTCAAATGTATATTATCTCACTGCAACTGGTTCGCCGAACCGTCAAACAGTCTGACTTGTATCTAACAAATGCCGAACTGCCAAATGATATTTCATCCTCCGCACCCTGTTCCATTCCCTGTTTAAGCCCCCCATACTTGTACAAAAGAATAACAATAAATTAGAAGAGAATGTTGCACACGCGGGCTTATGCCCGCATCGATTCCGCTAGTTGGAAGAAACTTGTACCTTTAAGGCGATTCACACCGTCTATTTTGATTTACGCTTTAGATACCAGTGTTTATAACAATTACCGGTGGAAAGAAGAAATTTGTTATCGCCAAAAATCGCATTGTCTTGGTGTTATGTAATTTATCGTTTTATCACTTTCAGATATCGACACATATTATTGCTAAGTACAATTTATAAATAATTTTCAAAAATCTTTTTATCTCTCTTTTCTACTTATATAAAACCTACATTAGTTTTGTGAAAGAAAAATTGTGTGACGCTAACAAAATTTTTTCAACTTTGTAGTTAAAAAATAATAAGTTATAATTTCTCTCATCTTTACCAGAATAGTGCGATTTTTTGATCGATAACATTACATATTATATTAAGAAAATAAGTTAATTAGGGATTAAAAAAAAATACAATATACTAAAGGTTTTATAGACCAAAAATACTTTCTATTCGTTTGGATAGTTTAGAGGAGAGATATATCGCAAAGTTTAAATGACTATAAGACCTCCGAACAAAGAGCTTTTATTCTATTTATTCTCCTCTATATTATGAAACAAATGTTTTTTAATAATGCTTGCGATATGTTCTTTATATAAGTAATCTTTAATAATCTATTATTTTTGTGTTGTTTGTTCTTTTGTAGCGTTGTTTATATTCAAAAACTCGGTTCTGGCAACTGTGTTATATATTGTAATTTCGTATATTTGTTTAATCAGGGAGAAGAGCGCTTGCGCGTTTTGTTGTGGAATTCTAAATTCTAAATATTAAGTCGAACAAAAAGTCAAAAGATGTCATCAATTGTGATAATGTATTTCTAATTGTTTTTCTAAATTATTTATTGTTGATTTTATCTAAATTATTTGTTTCGTCTAATTCTAGATTCTCTTTTGTTATTTGGTGCGAATAAGAATTGTGTGATAAAAAAAAAGAGAATTATTTCGAATTGATTTGACGAACGCGATTAGCTCTTCATTTCTTTTTAAGCATATGGATTACTTTAAAAAAAATAATTACATATTATGAATAATATTATTCTATCGACGATATAAGTTCGTAAATTTCATCTCAAGCTAGATTATCGTTTGAAAGACACGAGTGTAAAACATGATAAGTGGATACGTTTCAAATGTCACTTATTACTGTTTTACAGCCGGACTTTTCATTTCTATTCTCCGTGTTTCATCCATTTCATTGTATAATACTCTGTACATAATGGTGTAAATGTTCATCGACAACTTACATATGAATAGAAACGAGCACTTGTAATTTTCGTAACAACTCGGATGAGTGAGTGGTGAATGGTATCATTTTTTTCTTTTTTTTTTAATTGCTCGTACCATGTGTGTAACGAGCACATCTCACATCTCCCTCTCTCTCTCTTTCTCTCTCTCCCTCTCTCTCTCTCTCTCTCTCTCTCTCTCTGTCTCTCTCTTCTACTTTTCCACACACATACTCTCAAATATATAAATATAGTTGTGTCACAGAAGGTTGTTGCTGTTAAAAGTTTATCTTGAAATATGAATGAATTTGCGAGGTGTTTGTCGGGGCTCATATTGTAATAGAAATATAAAGGAGTAATAAAGTCAAAGAGTTTTCAACGTTAAGAGATACAAAGCGAGATTTATCGTGTGATGAGAAATGTATATCGAGTCGGGTGTTTTAAATATGAAACATTTGCGGAATGCGTTGAGATTGTACTAAAAAAAAAAAAACAAAAAAAAACAAAATAATAATAATAAAATGCACATAAATTGCAAATTGTAATTTAAAAACAAAAGAAGAGAATATATAGAAAGCAACAACTCTTTCTATGGACATATTTTGCTAGAAAACTTCTTGATTTGATACACGTGAAAGACTGAAATGCTTATTTTTCTCGAAGTGAAAACAATCTATAACGTTAATGAATGCCACGAACATGCGAGAAATCGTCGACGAATCCCATGAGTTACCGTTTTTTCTATAATTACTGCAATATCACAAATCTCGTGTGTCTCGTGACTCATAATGACAGCGTTCGATTTTTATCGAGAACGTTCTTTGTTTTTTCCGTTAACATAGTGGTTGAACAATCAATCTTTTAGACTGCGCGCTCAGTTTTCAATACATATATATATATATATATATACAATCGAGTTTTCTACAATCTATACAAACCGGTGACTTGTTTAACCAACCATTAATTACTGCCGCTGTATAAAGCGTGCCTGGCGGTGTGTGGATGGATATCTTAATATTGTTAATAGATATACGTACCTCTAATGTTATTAATTATTATTAACTCCTGATTTGTAATTGAGAACGTGAGATTGTTGGAACCCAAACGTACGAGATGCATGTAACGAAAGGAAGGCTCTTTGCTGTAGAAGCAAAGTTTTGTAATAATTTAAGGAAGGAATGTGATACAAAATATAAATCTGACAAATTTTGCGGATGCACGATTTGAAGAGGAATTCTCATACGCTTTGGGCTTCACAAATCTGGCTTCTAAACGGACCCTACTAATAAACGCCATAGTGGTCTGCGAGAAATAATTAGCTCGAATAAATTAAATTTACTTTAATGTATTCCCTTTTCTCTCTTTACTTATTTACCTTCTGCACTCACTTACTTTAATAGTTTTTATTAATAAACCTAATTTTTTATTAGTAAATTCTAAAATTTATTTCATTTACACACAGGAAAATAAAATTGAAAATAAAACGCAGCGATTTCGTACGTACGCATTTCAGTTTATTTATTAAATTAATTGTTGACACAGGTTATTGTGTATGTTGTACAGTGAGAGTAGAGTGTATATTGGGCAATATATTACCTATCTATATGTAGTAATAGAATAGAATTACAAAGTTAATTTAAATACAATTGCGACACGCGCGAGTAGAATGACGCGAATTGCCACTGTCTTCTTCTCATGTTCTTCTTCTTGTCCTTTTTTTCTCTGCCCTTACGCTCAATTACATCCATATAATTAAGACAAGAACATTATTAAATTTTCTTGCTTATTCGAATTATATATTGATATATTGTTTTGTTTTTAGATTTTTTTTTAGACATTTTGTGTACGAGTCTCTTAAATGAGAGAGATGAGCGTTGAGTTTTATTTTGTTACAACGTTTTCGTTGCGACGTATCGCATTTCGTTAGCCGAGCAAATTCGAATTTACGACGGGTCGTTACGAAGAAAAGCACTGCATTTCCATTGATATTTATTTGTTTATGCAATTCCAGTTGCTCCAATTAACTCCTCAAAAGTAACACGCCACGCGGCCCGTTGAAAACTCTCTCGGTTCTTATGATAATTGACGTCGCGTCTTTTCCTTTTTTTTTTTTTTTTTTTGTTATCTTGACGTGAGTTCATATAGCTCCTGTTGACAATAAATATTTCAATTCTTATAATCTATTTAAATGTGACTATATATTACTTGTTCGTCCATTAATTTTAAATATTTATTTATTTTAAGAAATAATCTGTTTTGTATAATTATGTAATTAAATTATCTCAAGAACTTAAATTATTCTATCTGTATCATATTCTACGTCAGACATACGTTTGTAAAGACGACGACGCGACGTTCGAAGTGGCAAAGGTGTTGGTGACGATGGCAACTTATACAATGTCTTGCCTCGTCTCTTGGACGAGGTACACCTGGGAGCCGGGCACGGTCGAGGTGGTGACGAAGCTGCGGTGTTTGGCACGGATCAATGTCAAGTTGCTCTCCGCCGTGTCGGCGCGATCCTCCGCGGCCTCGAGCTCTCTCTGGAAGCGACGAACCCTGGTGACGCTCTGCTGAGACATGCCTTCCTGTTCCTGCAGCTGCCTCTTGTAGATGCTGACTTTCTGATTGGCCTTATCGAGCGATTCCTGCAGCAATGCGATGTTCTTCGAGTCTTCCTCAATCTGAATCATCACTTCCTTGACGTTGCGTTCCTTCTTGCGCAAAATCTTCACGGTTTCGGAGTGTCGGCGTTTCTCCTCGTCCAGTTCGAGCTCCAGATCGCGAATCTACAATAGTGTGTAAATAAATTTACTTAAAAAATATATAATGTCAAAAACTTTTATATGGACTGTGACACAAAGAGGTACGTATACAAAAATAAATTATGAAAATATCTATACAATTGTTGTGATTAAGTAGAAAAATTTTGTGAGCAAATTTTTTTTCTCACCCTAGCCTCGAGTTTGCTGATGATGCGTTTGCCCCCAACGATAGCGTTAGCCTCGACCTCTTCCAATCTTACTGATAAGTTCTTCACCTCGATCTCCAACGACTTCTTGATAGCCTCGATTTTGACAATACGTTCCTGTTCTTCATGCAGAATTTCAACAGTGTGCTTGAGCTCGTTCTGCACTCTCTGGTATCTCTCATCGCTGACTCTCAACTCCTTGGTGACCTCCTCGTAATCTCCAGCCAATGTAGCAAGTTCTTGCTCGAGTTTAGCCTTTGATGAAGCGATGTTCACGTTGATTGTGGTCAGTTCGTTGATGCGACTAACCGATTCCTCGTATTGTTGCTCGACGGATCTCTTCGCGCGCAGAGCCTTTTGACAAAATTTATTTTTTGCATTTTACGCAGTTTCAGCACGCAGTACACATATAAATTGTACATTTAATCATCCTACCTTTTCTTATCCTTAAAGGATAAACTAAATGTTTAATTAAAATTTTTTCTTGTTGTTCAAATACATGAAGTTTTGCAAATTATCATCGTGATACTTACGGATTCGTAATTGCCGCGGATTTCTTCGAGCTCGGCCGTCAATGATTGCAGACGGCGTTGACTGATGCCCAGCTGGTCCAGGGTCACTTGCAATTGACGCTGTACTTCGTCGTAGTGAGCTTGCAGTTCCTAAAAGAAGATGTTTCGATGTGTGAGACATGTAGTCACTTAATGTTCTCTCTCAATGGCTTGACAGAATTTAAGTATAGCAATATTACCGTCAAAGTAAGGGATTGTTTCTTGATGGTCTTTTGCAGATCGATGTTGTTCTTGTTGGCTACATCCAAAGACAATTCCAACTCGGTGATCTGGAGATGGAGCTTCTTCTTCACGCGTTGAACCTCGGTCTTGAGCTTCGTCTCGGCTTCAACCACGCGGGCGCTCAACTGCTCGATTTCAATGCTTGTCTGTTTGCTAAGTAATTTTATTCAGAGATATATAAGAATAGACAGTTTGTGTTTCGATTCGTAAGTTATTATTAGAACAATTACAATTTGAACATACAATTCCAATTATAAATTTTTCTATTTGCTCTATTTATTTTTTTACGTTTTACTCTTCGATTACTCTTTCCAATTACTTTTTTGCTACTTGTTATGTAACTTCTATCAATTTACCTCATCCATCCTGGTATTTAATTCTAGGTCTTATACTTACGAAGTATACAACTTCATGAAAGAAGAAAGGGTAGAGGAGAGTAGAATCGTCAGAGGAAGGAATCATAAAAAGAATATTTTTTGTTGAAACATGAAATCAAACACCGATTATCGAAATTGTTTATTTCAATTTTAAGTAACTTCAATTTCAAGAATTGTTTATTTTTATTTATATTTTATTTTGCATTCCTACCTTTCTAAGCAATTACATTATCCGGACTTGTTTTCCGTACTACTAAAATCTCGATCGGGGTATAATGTAACTCTTACCTATCTACCGCGTTTAATGTTATAATATTCGCATCCCCGACAATCGTTCAAAAGCTCTCGTCTCGCACGATTTTGATACCTCTTGTCCAGAAAATAATTGCTGGATTTCTGCTCGTATCCGCGCAGCTCCTTGCTCAGCGTGTCGAGCGGCTGCGTCAGCTTCTCCACGTCGATCAGATTTTTGGTCCTCTCGTCCATCAATCTGCCGTGCGCTTTCTCGTCCCAGAGAGAGTGCACGGTCTCTCTCTGAAACTTGCGGATGTCGGCCAGCTCCTGGCTCTTGGACAAGTTCTTCAGAGCCTCCGCTCTCAGCTGGAACTCGATCGCTCTCGCGGACTTGCCGCGTAGATTTTTACCGTGTTCCAGCGCATCGTGAACCTCTTCCATCATCTGCACGTCCTTCAACGCCTGCAATTTGATGTCGTTCAACGCCTCCTGCTGCATCTCCTTGCTAGCCTCGCTGCGGACGCGAGCGCTGGCGAACAAAAGCGGCATCGGTAGCCTTCTCAGATCCTTTCCCGTGCGCGGCAAGATCTCCTTGGTCACACGACTGGCGTGCACGGTCTTGGCCAGGCTGAAGTCCGAGCGATTCGCTATCTTCGGGTGTTCGGTTCGGACGAACAGATAAAATGGTCAACGTGAATCTTGGGTTGTTTTAGAGCGTGACCGCTCGACGTTTCTCCGCTCTGTACGCGGCGAAACTTCTCCCTTGGGAAAAACCGTTTTCCGTCGTGCACGCGCACTTACGCGACGCTATGGCGCTAAACTTAGCCCCAGCGATCCAGAATGCGAACGCGATCGCGCCACACGCCGACCGACTCTCTGTTGAGACTCGACAGCGACTGCCAATGCACCGGACACACTGCTGACCATCCCGTGTGTCTCCCTTTCGTTCGGGAGACGCTCAAGATGGATTTTTTGCTGTGCGACTTGGCAGACTTCGAAGTTGATCAGAACCGCGAGGAATGATCCAAATAATGAAGTGCCAAGAAAACCGTTCGTTCGCTTCCGCGATAGTTTTATTGGTCAACCCGATTAGTCGCCTTGAGCTGTCAAACACGTATTAAATCTTTCTCAAATAACAACCGAAACTGTTTAAACATGTATATTTTTCTTTCTCGTGTTTTATGCAGTCTGTGTTGCAGAACAATCAAATTTTATATTTAAAAAATGTTAGGTATGTTTATGTTCGTTGAAAACATAATAGAATCTTTTCTTAGAGAAGATAATACGTCTAAAAGCCAAAACAGTGACAAAGCCAAGACAGTCCATCGTGTGGGTGATGCAACGCATTTCAAAAATATTGCAGTAACTATGCTTTACAAAAAAAAAATACGAACAATTTCACTTGTGTAACTGAAAAGCGTATCTCTTATACTATTTTACAAAACTATTACAAAATTATTTTTATTAATTAATGAAATCGTTATATATTACTTTTACTTATTCTCTTTCAAATAATTAATGTTTATTGTTAACAAAATATTGTATTTGTATTTGTATTCAAAGTTGAACAAAAAAATTTATCGTGTTGCAACGTCTTTTCACCCGAGAAGAAAAAAAGGAGTAAATTGCAAAAAAAGAAAAATATAGCGACGTCAATGATGACACAAATTACGCATGGCATTCGCGAACGCGCCTTTGATCGTTGCTGCTCGAAACGAGGCAGCCTCTTCCGCGGCACCAAATTTAGAAACCGAAAAGGTCAAGCAGTCGCCAAGACGCGCGGCACTCGGAAAACAGATCTTGTATTTTCCAGAAGGCGTCCGAAGACTCACCGGAAACTTTCTCTCTTTTCCACACAACTATCGTACCTTGAAGCGAGACAAGTGATCTCTGGCGTCGTCCTCGGCGTCGATCGCGTGTTTAATAAGATCGTCTTTGGTGTAGGGTTGTACCTCTTTGTTTTCCCACAAAACTCGGCTGTCGGACCACGGTAATTCGGGCAGTTCAATTCTTCTTTCGCGTTCTCTCGACAATGTCGATCTCGATAGAAGTCGCTTATTGTCCATGTAATCGATCATCGGCTGATAATAATTCATCCCGTATCCGTAATTTATATCGTAGATGTATGTCGGATAGTGTCGCCATTTTGGTTCCAGCGGCATGTGAATCGGTGGCATGTAACCCGCCATTTTTGATAAACGAATTTAGATATTATCACGCAAACGGAGTATTTATATTTTGTTTCTTGTAAATTGTCAAAAACTTTGTGAATTTTAATCTAATGCGCGCGTCATGTAACGCGTGTCGAATTTTTCGCAATAATATTCGATTTCTGTCTATTCAATGCTGGTGTTGCTTGTGACAGAAGAATCGGCAAAAATTGGGTCGGTGGTTAGGTGGTATCTTTTGTAGTTTTCGTTTGTGATTGCCACATCGGGAACAACCAATCAGCATCTCCGAATAATAATTAGATCATGACTGATCGGATTTGTCGTGCTTATTAATAGTGCGTTGTTACGCATATATGTTACGATCATATGTGCGATCATATGTCCTCATTACTGGATATTAATCTTTTCATTTTTTTTCGCATTTGTAATATTTTTTTTTACCATCTGTATCAATTATTACTCATAGCGGACTAGTTTTTATATAATTATACTATTGTAGAAATATAATTTATATTTCACTTTTTAATTTGTTTCTAAACTTCAGTTTTATATTAATGAAAACATTTATATTTCCTTTTTTGAGTTCTGATTAATTGATTTATTATTTATTAAGTTTCTGATTATTGAGCTTTGCATAATGTTGAAGCGGCAAACATATCGCTAAAACTAATTTTGAGATGTAACTAATATCGATAGCGCACTTCAAGTCAGATATAAATAGATGTCTGTCAGGTATAAATAGATAATTAGAGGTCACATACGCGAGAGAAAGTGCTACAATGATTAATTGTTTAAATCGATCAGCGATAAATTTAACTACCTTTTTAATGTACTAATAATAACGCTACACACGGAATGCTATATAATTAAGTAAAAATAAATCTGATTACATTACGGTTCAAAGTACTATGATTAACACTTCAGAGAGTATTATGATTATCCTATCTTACGATACTTTATCTTAGTATTCTTATTTTGTAGAAGGACAAAACAGAAGCAAGTAGAAAAGTAAACTCTAGTAATTAAAAACAAAAAACAATCGCGCGTATACGTATAGCATAAATGGAATTTCTTTTTTTAGCCTAACAAATTCAGTCTAGAAATGTGGTTTTGTTTATATAATTATGATTGCGTTGGCATAATATTTTTTATAAAAATGTTCTTTTTTTTCTAATCCCAGGTTGGAATGACGTAAATATTGTAATCCAAAAAATATATATAATTGTTTTCTAACAAAATTTGATAAATAAAATTAAAAATTTAATAAAAGACACTTTATCATTCTATAAAAAATTCGAATTTTATAAGAATAATAACTTAAAAATTAATATCTTTAATATAAATAAAAATATATAAAAATATATAAAACTGTATAAAAAATTAATAAAAAACTATTGTTAAAAGTGACTTACCGAATAATTTCAATTTCTTCATCCTTCTCCGCAATGCGACGTTCGTAGTCGTGACGTAATTGGCTCAATTCGGCTGACAACCTTTGAGCACGTTGCTCTTCAATTTTGCGGCCCTATATTAAGTTATTTTTGTTTATATGAAGAAGAAAATTGAATTTAATTTGACAAAGATATATATTGCGAAACCTTATAATATCTTCTCTCTTGCATGCTCGAGTTTCAATTATAAATATGTCTACTTTTATTCTTATATCTTCTGGTTTTGTTGTGTGATATATTAATATATTGACAGTTACTACTTACCGCTTCAGCTTCTTTGTAAGCGGCAGCCAATTCTTCACGTTCATTTTCCAATCGGCGAAGTTCGAGCTCAAGTTCGTGCAGTCTGCGGTTCATGTCAGCCAACTGATTCTTAGCGTCGCTAAGATCATCTACAACAGTATTATAAATATTTTTCTCTTTTATAAATTAGAGTTTTATATTTTTACATGTTGTTTTACGAATGTTCTGAAAATGGAATTCTGTCCAAAGAAATTCGATAAAGAGACTTTATTTAAGAAAAACTCGAATTTTGTCGAAGATATACTTCAAGGTAAAATCTTTGAATTATCATTAAAGCGACGAATTACCTCCAAGTTTCTTGTTCTCACGAGCCAATTGGTCTTTTAGTTCACGAGTCTTGTCGAGCTCGGCGTTCACGCGTTGCAACTCTTGCTGTTTGTTTCGGAGATCGCGCTGGCTTTGCTCGTACATGGCAAGAGATTCGTCCAAGCGTGTCTTCAATTCTATATTGATCTTCTCGAGATGTTCAACGCGTTTCTGAAGTTCACGAGCAGTTCCATTGGCCTGAAAAAAAAAAGAAGAAACACGACGGTGTAAGAAATTTTTCTAAATAGCATGAAATATTCTTGTGATAAAAAACTTTGCTTACAAAAGTTCAAAAACTGACAATGGAATCATCACCTTTTCTAAGTCGATGATGAGAACTTCTACTTCCGATTGCAGGCGCGATTTCTGCTTCTCGAGGTTGTTGATCTTCACAAGCAAAGTTTCAATTTGTTCTTCTTGTTCCTGGATGCGAGCGGAGTACTTACGACGAAGTTCTTCCACCTGCGAATTCACAATAAAAATTTGTCAATATATTTATGTAAAATTCTATTGCAGAAAATGGGTGAGAGAATTAGGTCACCCAAATATGTGTAAAATTAATTAAATCGATGTAATTACAGTTTTGTCGGAAGCACAATTACCTCTTCGGCTCGAGCGTTAGCCTCGGTCTCGTACTTTGATCTCCATACTGAAACTTCTCCATTAGCCTTGACTAATTGACGTTCGATGTCCAAACGCGCTTCAGACTCTTCTTCCAATTGAACGCGAACGGATTCCAATTCCACCTCAACCTGTCGATTTACGTTAACAATTGTGTAATAGTCAGTGATGTAATAAAAATGATAAAATCTATCTTGAAAAAAGTCGTCAAAATCAGGTACCGAATATATGAAATTATACCTGATGCAGTGAAGCCTCAATCAGCGAACGACGGCGTTCCTCATCTTCAAGACGACGGCGGGCATCCTCGAGTTGACTCACGATTTGTGTTTTCAAGTAAGTAACGTTCTCTATGTTTACCTAAAATTTCAATTCAATTCGTAACAAAACTGGAAAATACATAATTTAACTATGAGAGAGAAGTATCAGTGAGGTTTACCTTAAGATCTTGAACCTCCTTGGTCAACTCGATATTTTCTTGCGACAGCCGGGTTTTGTGGCTGGTGATATCGACAATCGTACGGTTCAGTTCCTCGATTTTGACATTCAACTCAGACACGTGCACTTCGAGTTTCTCGACCGTTTTAATCGACAACAGCTTCTCCTTGGTAGTATTGTCGAGTTGAGCGAGGAGCTCATACACTTCCTGCTGGAATTTCGATTTTTCCTTGTCAGCTCTGAAATCACAAAATTACGATTTTGCTAAGATGTTTATTATCTATTTTTAACGGTAAAAGAAATTACTTTTTTTTAAGTTACATATTTAGCTCATAGAAACGTGGCAGAACAGTAATTTTGTAAATTAAATATACACGAAAATAAAGTCATTTTTGTAAAATATTGAAATAACATTTTGTATCACAAGAAAATCACATATTTAAATAATTTTGGTTTTAATTATTTTTTTTAATTATCAGAAAACTTTTTAAATGATTTATTTCGAAAAGAAAAATTAGGAAAGCAGATGGCTTCAACTAAATAATAATACGTGTCTTTAAAAGACAATACCGTACAACCTATTCCTGTATATCGATCGAACATTTTTCGCAATGGACACATCGACAAAACCGTCACACGTGGGTCCGACTTTTCTGGATACCGCATAAAAAAATGTGACCGATATCAGATCCATCTATCTACACGAGGGTGTAAGGTATCGGTTAACCGATTCTGGGGATAGTGGGGATCCGGGACGGTCGCGTGTACTAATATGGCGCGCTAACGTTGGGGTTGCGGATTGCCGCGCGACTCGTACGGTTAAAAATAGTCATAAGCCAAGTAACCGTGCGAGCAAAAGGAAGACGAGGAGAGAAAGAGAAACACGCTGCGATAGAGGAAGACAGTTGAGTTTTTGCGCTTGGAAAGAGAGGGAGGGGACCGAGTGATGCAATTATATCGAGATCTACAATGCACTCTCCTCGCTCTCTCTTTCTCTTTCTCTCTCTCTCTGTCTTCCACCAACAGGTGGGATACTTTTTCTGCTGGCGTCATACTCGTGACACAACAGAGAAAAATAAAATTTGGAATTCAGGACAACTGTTCAGAGATTTCACGACGTGTACATTCGTTCACAAAAACTTAAGAATGCAACGATAACAGTGATTGATATATCGACGACATAGACGACAAGTGTGCGTACGTCATGTGTTTGGGCGATAATCGAGATTTATAAATTGACGGTGATATCACGGGCAAAATATAACCGGACGGATCGTATTTGACACCGCTTACATTGCATCGGTGAAATTAAGTAACAGCTGCGTGCGTCGATTAGTTATTATTCTTGGCAACTATGCATCTACTGTTCCGAGATCTCGTCATTTATTACGTTCGTTAACCATTCTCAAAATGAAAACTTTCCCGTTTGTGAATCGTTTTTCTCCGATTGGTCTTTTTTTCGGTCGACCGTTAAAAGAGCGAAATCAAAAAGCGGAGTCGTCGCGCAAACACACATGAATATCCCGTGCACGATCAATCATGTCTAATTAACGCGGCAACGCGGACGTTTCCAGGATTGTCAACGTCCTTGTAAAAACGACGAGATCGGCGCTTCGAGTGGCTACTATGTTTAGAAGAGCCGGGCTAACCGAATCTTCGTGTATTTCAGTTGCAAGTCGCTCCTTGGATCGTGGCCAGTCGCCTCGCGGCTAGCATAATTCGCGCAAATTTTCTTACATACAGTCACTCTCGTTTGTGTGACGAGAAACCGCGCTATAATTATCCACGTGACACCATGATTCATTACGTTTTCCTCCTCCCTTTCGACGTCTTTCCTGTCTTTTTCCCCAAACATCGCACGACGCTTCCTCATAGAATCGCGATTTGCTACGCGGCCCGAACTTCCGGCCGGTTCGCCGCAGTTGTTTATTGATGCTTCCCCGGACGCGCTTTACACGCTCTCGTTTCAAAGAGGGAGATTAGCAAGCGTTTACACTGGTGTCTGCTTTGCGAGCGCGACTGTGCATGAGCCCGCGAGCTTTCTGAAATTACAGAACCTGTCTGGTTTTGATCGACCATTTCGGCTTTCTCGTGGAAATATTGAACTTCAAAGTATCCAAGTGGATCTGACAAGGATTAATAGCAAATAGTTACAGATCAATGTGTGTGTAAGTAAAAGAGAAGTCTCCTTAAACACGTTTAATCGAATTTCTTCACAATTTTCTCTACCAACCTGGCGCGTGCTTTCGAAAGCTGATCGATCTGATCCTGGAAATCGACGACGACTTCCTGGTGCTTTTTGCGCAAGAGATGTGCGGTCTCCTCGCTCTCGAGATGAACATCTTCGAGTAGTTTGCGCAGTTTGGCCAGTTCCGTGTCCCTCTTTTTGTTGATCTCGAACTGCACGAGGACATTATTGAATTATAATTTGTTCGCGAGTTCTGTAGCTAATTCATTAACGTAGAGAACATCCTTGTGCAAATACTCACTTGAGATTCGGCGCCACCCTCAGCCTCTTCAAGGCGTTCGGACAGCTGGATGACTTGCACGCTTAAGTCAGCGCGCTCGCGTTCGATCTGCAAGAAATTTATGCGAATTAATGTTGCAAAACTAGTAAACGGTAATTAAAATGAAAAAACAAGAATGACATAAATTATCCTTTAAGAAGCACGTCACAAAGTAGAAAAAAATTACGTATTAGTTGAGTCATAGTTTTTTTTTTAATTTATTTGCGACATTATTAATCGTTGTTTTGAAACGCGCATCGGTACATGCTCTACAAATGGTATCATATCGTCAGTAACATGACGTCAGATTTCTTCAGCGTGAATAGGACGATCTAATTTCGGACGCGGAGTCTCTATATCGGGAACTTTATTCATATTACAAACGAGGCATTTGTTGAGAAAAGACAGCGAATCCACTCTCACAGTTTTACGTCAAACTATCTCTCACACACAAAATTTCTTCTTGATATTCCAGATATTTTCCGAACGTTATATTTACTGTATAACATATGCGTATTTGACACTCCGCAGTATAAACGGAATTGAATCGACACGTATATACAAATACACGCTCAATAAACAAACCTATAAATTGAAGTATTAGATTCGCATTTGTTCTAGTATGCAAGGAATTCATTGTGTCTAAATGCAGTGTGTGCATTTCGAATGCATAAACGAAGAAATACGTGAAGCGTTCTGAACGCGTAAGACGTGTTAAACGTCATTTCAATTTTCGGACTTTATAGTTTCGAAGCGCGAGGAAAATTTTGGCAGTCGTTCAAGTCACGGCGTCCGTTACACGCAGATTCGATTTCTGAGGAATTTCAGGAGACAATGAAATTTGAGAAGTTCTTATAGAATTTAGCCTCCCATTTGCGGACACGGTGTTCTTTTTTTTTTACGAAAAAGTAATTAATCGAGCGAATGTTATCAAAAATGCAACTTTCTACGATAAATACTGTCAGATATTTATGAAAATAAAAAAGTATGTAAATATGTTTTCTTATTAAAAATTTAATTTCTAATAATAAAAAAAATTTTGCAGTCTTTAAATAAAAATACTCATTTGTTTAGACGCAAAGAATTATTTTTGAATGTTGTATTTCAGTTCTTCTCTGCGTGTTGAAAGTTTTGTGAAAAAATATGCGATAGTGTTTTATTTGTTTGTAAAGTAGAAAAACCGTGTTGAAAAACGCAGGAATGCGGGAATGATCCCGAAGAGAGCTTCGCGTTCCTAAAAATAGATGCAACTTAAGAGCTGGACATTTCGACCTACTACTCTTTGCTTTGCAGTGAATTAACTCTTTGATTTCTTTTGATTTTTTTACTTTGATATGATGATGTAGGTTTGCAATTGAAATCGCATTTTATTTTGATTTAGAAGTTGATTTAATAAGATTAAAGATCGTATGTATTAAATCATGTTTAAAATAACAGAATGCCGTTACAATTCTTCACGCTGTACATATTGCACTTTGTCTTTTCGCGGCTGCGAACTTTCGGAGATTCATTCGAGAGTTATCTCTGATTCTAAACATAGTTTTCAATTTTCCGCTTTGAAAGTTTATCGGTACAAGAATTTCGATTTCTAAAAAGCCTTATTTGCAAAACACATTTGCTCGCTACAGGATGTTGTGTGTAAAATATTTATCTCGCAAAATGTCACGTCAACACACATTACATTTCGTATTTCGCGACGTTTGCTAAAGACTACCGTTACAATAAATTCTACATCAAAACTGATTCTTCTCTACACCGATACAAAGAAGTATAGTTTCAAAATCTTAAATTGCAAGAGGAGTTGCCAAAACAACTTCACACGAGACTGTTTCTTGTATTTCTTGTACAATACATATTAAATATGAGATAACTTGGTCTTTTTCTTTTGTCTCTGTAATCATGCTTGTTGTAAAATACATGATATAAATACGAGTAAAACATACTCGAGCAAGCGTCTTTTTCATTTATTACAGAATACAAATAGATAACACATATGAGAATAATTAATTAGTATTAGGTATTATTATTAGTAGAAAATATTAATTAGTTAGAGAGAGTGGCCATCTCTCTAGATTAATTTGTACATTAATCTACACGTAATATCTCGATATTATTTGTTTAAAGCAGCACGTAAAGCAAAATCGTCTAATCCAGTCAGTTTGATTATATTTTAACAAGTGTGATAAAATGTCGTCAACTAAAATGACGATGGATGATCAATCATTGTTAGCAGACTGTTTCGACATCTGCTATTGTGCATGACATAATTTTCAGGATTGCTCAGATCCCGGGAGAAATGCACGAGGACAATTGTAAAACTCACCCTCTGACGCAGCTCCCTCTCACACTCCAGGTCATCCTGCAGTAGGCGGATTTTGTCCTGAAAAGAGAGGCAATCGGGATTAGAGGGTATATCACGGCGCCCGTTATAGAGGGTCGACACTTTACGTAATCGCTCGACGAAAATATCCGACAGCGGAGGCTCGGTATTTCGGAAAGACGCACGGCCTCCGCCGAATAGATTCGTCCTCGGGAGAAGGAGAGAACGACGTCGCGACGTCTGCTGAGCGCGTCTTCGAAAGCCGCTCGTCGGAATTATTTCAAGAAAGCCGCGCGCTTTCATGTCGGCTCGCCTTAGGCCACACAAACAGCCAGGCCACTAGTTGCAAGGAATGAAGAAATGATCTTACTTGCTCGTGCGGCGTGCGAAGTCGAGACGATCGTACGTTTCCTCATACTTCTCTCTCGGGACGGAATACGTCCTGAAAAGAGCGAGTCCTCGGATCCGACGAAGAGTCGATTGTATTACGGTGCAGGGGCATCATCTTGAAACGGGATCTCTGAAAAGACATCGATCTGGCGCCTTGGCACGATCGTCATCTCAAACCGATATTCCACTGACTATTTTTGTACACGAGCAATCCGATAGCTATAGGAACAGCCGTACACTTCGGTTCCTTGTCGGGTTGGCACTAACATCCCTTATGGTCACTGAACTTTCGCGATTCACTATCTTCGTGACTAGTCACTACTACCGTATTGTTCACGTGCAAATTTGTCATATGTCACTACGATGACGCACGGGAACATTTCTTGGATCTTCGTGTTCCTCAGAATCTGAGAAGTATTCAAACTGAATTTGGAGCGTGTTTTATCCCAGAGTTGTAGAACGTCAATGTATCTTCTCTCGCTCTTTTCTTATGTTGCAATGTTCGTCAAGTGCTGCTTCTTTGGAAGTTGGATAACTTTTCAGCGTACGAAAGTTTCTAATTTAGCATAAGAGAATTGTGTTATCTTTTGTTTAGAAACGCAGTTACTACAAATTTTACCAATCATCTGTGTTTGAAAAAAAAATATATATATTAATAATTAATGTACTATTTTAATGTTTTTCAAAATTTTTAATTCTTTTTTTAACTTATCGAAAAAAATTTTTCTCGGTCTCTTTTCAATATTATGTGATTTTTTATGCTAGAGAAATCAAATTATTTTGCACAATGTACTTAGTATTTAATTAGAGAACATTTAAGAACTTTGTTCTCGCGGCTGATGTTTTTTCTCCCGACTGTCGTTCTCTCCTTTCGATTTTCCCGAAAGGCAATATTGGACATGAGCACTTTTTTTTTTTACAGGACCTACCTCGAGTCTACTGAGAGCGCTCAGGTCGGCGCTGTATTCGATGCTAACATCGGCATGACCCGCACCGCCCGTAGAGCGGTATGTGTACTTGGAAGTCTTGGCAACCGCAGAAGACGACATCTTCCTTGCTTCGTCCTCTTCCTGTGTTTAACGTTGATTTAACTCCTTTCGTATGTTACGGGACTCAAGTCCTGTTCGCGTATCCTTTCCGCCTGAAAGAATCTTTCTGCGCGCCACTCGCCAAGTCAAGTCGCCTCGGCTTCAGTCGTCGGTTGTGCCCGCTTCTTGTTCACGCTCTTCTTCTTCTTCCTTCTCTTCGGGGTTTCGGAGCCGACCAGCGCCCTACTCGTAGTGCGCGACCCGTCGTCGTTCGTATGGCGCGCCGGCCGCTTCATGGCTTCGTCAAAATGACGATCGACGCAGGCGCACTAACGTCAAAAAAGCCCCTACCAGGAACAGCCAGCACACTCGTCATCGTTGTCTTCATTCTTGTCGTCTTTATCATCACCGAGGGGAACCACCACGCTAGACGCCCACGGTGTCCAAAGACAGTTGCCAAATCGACTTCGACTTGGCCGACTACGGAGATGATATCAAGGAGAGAGGATGTCGCTCCCTGATGACTTTACTATGTCGTGCGGGTCTCAAGGTGGCACGCACAAGGACTGTGTTTATCTAATGTTTTCTAAATTACAAAAATACTGTTTGTACCATAGTTAGACTTAGAAATCTTCTGAGTATGTAAAAATAAAAACAATTCAACAAGTTTAAAAATAAAAATATAAAAAAAGTTTCTACAAATAACAAACGATTACATTGTAACAGACAGAGAACTTTTGTATTCACAAAAATATAGTTTTTTATTTACAAAAATAAAATTATTAAATTAAAATTTGTACAATAGAAAAAAGAGATACTTCGGGTATTCTTGATGTTGTTGTAGCTTGAATTGAAGCTCGATTATCGTCACTATAATTTTGGATCATTCGGCACATTGCGGTGCATACGGTGCAGCCGGAATTAAATCGGACGCCCACGTTTCCAAAGAGAATTTGTTCGTCCAAAACCCGTGTATACGTAGATGTAACTGCGTCGTAACCAATTTAGATTTAGTATAGTGTACTTGAAAAGAGACGTGCAGGGTCGAGTAGAATAGTTCAACCATCGATGAGACAAGGCGCCGACTTATTCAGAGATCTATCTACTTACAAGCGTGGGAGCAAAGGAGAAAAATATCAAGACATATCAGACAATGTCACTGGCTTATGCCAAAAACAGAATACATGTTTATGAATCAGTGATTCATTTGTGATTAATTCAGGAACGACGCAGATTGTGACTGATACGGATATTTTAGTACGTTTGTTAAAATGACGAAAGTTCGCACAATCTAAATATTTGATAAATAGTTTTAATATTATTTTATAATATAAATTTATAACATAGTAATGTTATAAATTACATATTATAGTGTAATAAATCGTGTTTTTTTTTAAATAATTTATTTTAGAAATTGAACTTTGTTGTCTTATCAAGATGAGCATCAATCATATTATCAGGTAAATAAAATAAAAAATATATAATACATAATTGTTAATAAGAAAAAATACAAATCTGATGACTAATTAGTTTTCATGAATTTGCTTGAAAGTCCTGCCGATTGTGTTACAGATCTACAGCCGCGCCAGACATTATGGTATTCACGAGACAACGCTGTTGACAATACGACAATGAGAAACACGAATGCCACGCATAGTTGTGTCACTGAAACGAAATCTTGCGGAGTGAAGCTTTACGAAATAATATAAATTAATAAAGAATATATATATATATATATAATATTTTCTTCTCGGTGTAAGAACATTTGGCGCTATATTTATATTGAGTTTATCTACGTTCCGAGCCAGTGAAACAAGCAGACATTAAAAGACGTGGGAGTGCCTGTATAAATATTTATTTTCGTCCTTTATGACCCATTTGACCGTAATTTACTGTAACAAAGCCTGGGTCTTGTCCAAGAGGTGCTAAGAATATTTAATTGAAAAAAAATATTTTATCCCGCAAAAATTTATTTTATTGTTATCATTTCTCTAACAAAAGTGAAAGGAATTTTTTCTTGTTGTTAGATCTTGGGTGTTTTAATCCGATATTAAGTTTCTCTCCCTCTGCAGCATCCGAAGTTCATCGAGACACGCAGCTGATCAAGAAACTGAAGAAATGAAGAAAGCGGAGACTTCTCCGACGTTTCTCTACATCTGCTCTTCGTCATCATGCATTCCGTTCCGTTCTCGAGAAACTCTGGACAGCAAGATCGCGCACTCGTTTCGAATGCTTCTTCTTTTTCCGTCGGATTGCCAGTTTTCACACAATTTCCTCGATCTCCCACTTCATCCTACTACCCACGAGTGTCTATAAAAGGTTGTCAGGCGATGGTGGGCGAAAACGCTCAGTCGGCCTAGCCCGGAGAGCTTACCAAGTAATTTGAGATTGGCCCCTTCTCTCTGAACGTTCTGCTCATCGCCTCCTTCTTCACTCTTCGTCACCTTCATCCCGCGATAAAGTGGCTCGCTCTGGTGGAGAATTTCAGGTGTAAAGAGAGAAGAGGTGGCACGTCGTCGAAGCGCAAACGCGAAAATAGCTCTCTCACATCTGTCCCTTCTTCTCTTACTTATTTCTCTTTCGAGCTGACATCCCCGTTTTTTCTCTCTCCTAAATCTCTCAACCTACCTGTCTATTTCTTGCTACCCCTGCTGATATTTACACAAACTGAATATTGTATGTCTTTATTTCAATTCTTTTTCTGATCTTTTTAAATCTATTCAGTCTCACAGATGGGATTAAAATAATTTGTTACCGTTGTTGCATTACTTTTATGTGTCTACATTCTTTCTCATTCCAGCGAGGTTTTTGCCTGAAGAATAATAAACTAATCCCGCCGTTTGCAATTCACCGCAACATGTTTCATGTCATGTTTGGCTTTGGACTGATTCGGACCAACTGGGTCGTATCGTTCATTCTGTTTACGGAGGAAGATCATGGTGTGAAACGAACAAAAAAAAGGTCACTCGCTGAAATTGAGCGCGTAAATTCCTTAAACAAAATCCACACTTGATGTTTTGTTGGAAATGAAATTTAAGAGATATTTTATTTTCAAAAATGCAGACTAACAATTATTTCCAAGTCAATTAGCGCATTGCTCTAATTTTCTAATCGTCTAATTTCTTTCGATACCTGCAATTATTTGAACATGTTAATAATTTTTTGCACGCTATCCTAGATATTAAATATCTAAAAACTGCACTTACGCAAAGTTGTGTGAAAAGGATGGTTTTACATAAGTCTGTAAACAATTTATTAATATCGCGTCCCGTTTTCATATGTTATAACACGAATTTCAGCTGTTTCTTGTAATTCCACACCTGCTACAATTTGCTTCATATAATTATAGAGTTATCGGTTTAGAAATTCAGGAAGAGGGCAACAGGTGGGTTTTCGAACAGGCCACTAGAAACCTCTCGCTAATGATGAAAGTAGTACGTGGGCACGTATGGCGCGTCAAAACAAACCCCCTCCACCTGGCCCCCCCACCACTTCTGGCGCCATTGCCCCACCACGGTGGATTTCCCCCTCCCTTGGTGGTGACTGGCCACGCCCACTGGAGGGGATGGAGAAGTGACATGAT